ATTCCTGGCTGGCCAGGGAGAAACCCATATGGCACAGCAGGCCTCTCCTGTCTCGCCCGCTGCTCCCTTCAGCAGTGTCTTCAGTCAGTCTGCCTGTTCTGCTCCCCACTCTGTCTGTGGTGAATCCTCTCACCCTCCTGCAACTCTGGCCTGTACCCCAGCTCTTGTATAAATAAATAAATCTTTAAAAAAAAGTCCCAGTTTCAAAAATAAGTAGATAGATAGATAGATAGATAGATAGATAGATAGACAGACAGACAGACAGACAGACAGACAGACAGACAGACAGACAGATAGATAGATAGATAGATAGATAGATAGATAGATAAAAAATTTCTAAAGAGTTACTCAGCTGCTTCCTGTACCAGCTGGGAACCATGTGCCCTTAAGTGGTACTGACTCCAGGAGGGAACAGCAGCTTGATGACTGATGAGTCGGGGGACGAACAGGGAGAGGATGAATCAAGAATGGCCCCAAGATTGGTTCTTAGAGCCAGGGAACAGAGGGAGCAGGCCAAGGTGTGAATACCAACAGACAGGGGAGATGGGGGTGCACACTGCAGGTGGGTGGGTCTCTGGGGGGCTGAGATGATATGTGGGACTCCGGGCAGTGAGCCCTGCCAGAGCCACCAGAGCCACCAGCAAGAGCTCACGGGCAGGATTCTGTCCCAGGAGGCTGCAGGCCGGGAGAGTGGGGAGAGTCCAAGGAGCCCCTCAAGTCAAGGGAATAGAAAGTTTAAGATGGAGAAAGATGGGAGAAAAGAGAGGTGTCACCTGAGCAGCTCAGAACCCCTGGCCTGCTCTGAGCCCCAAAACATGCCCCCTAGAATCCTTTCTCTTGATACATGTGTCTCTGGACAGCTCATTCAAAACAGGCTTCTGCAAGACATGGGAAGGATTATTTTACAGTTGTCTGTGTTTCTGAATTTTCTTCCTTTTTCTGGTACTCGAACAAGTAGGACAAAAATGTATTATGAAGACGAATAAGTCTCTGCTTAACAATCTGTTAACTAGTTCCCTCCCAGAAAGCAAAGATGGTCACAGATTCCTTATGGCGTTAGCATGGGAGAGGCCTGAGCAGCCCTGGCAAGCTGCTGGCAGGCAGGGAGACCCGCCGACTCCTCCCAGTGCCTCCCAGACCCTGTCTGCTGCAGACTCTGTGGGACCTTAGGTGGCCCCTTTGCAAAATCGAGTCTGCAACAGTGCAGGGAATACTCCGGGGAGGTCACAGGACTGGCCCAGGGCCACCCCCCAGCCCACAGGTGAGGAGTGTCCCACCCGGAAGCCCCTCCAAAAGACTTCCTGCTGTGCTGGGGGGCCCTGGGGCCTACCCTGGTGTTGCCCCTCCCTACTGGCCTTTCTCCTCCTCAGCCCTCAGCTGTCAGACCTTTGACAGTCCCAGGATCTCCCTCTCCTTCTTCCCTGGTCGGTCACCAAGTCCAGGCGCTCTAATCTTTAAAAAGCTCTTTCCCAGCTAACCCTTACGCTCAGCACTTTCCCTCCACCCTAATCCTCCCGGCTTCACTTCACTGCTTTGCCACAATGGCCGCCTAGCTGGCCTCTCACCCGAAATGGCCTTTTCAACCTATTCTTCCACAATTATTGTCCTCAGGCCACATTCACCCTGGCAGCTTCCCCCTTAAAAACATTCCCTTTTTTTCTCACTGCCAAAGGATCACATCTGTAAACATTTACTTAATTTGGGGAAAATTATACTCGGGGAACACTATGCACAGCCATCCCCAGGTCTCCACACCTGGCTGGCTGCCCTTTGCTGTCTTCTCCCCTGTGGTGACCGTGGAGCTGGGAGGACCTCACTGATCTGTGCTGGGCCCCACACTTGCTCAGAGTACTCCCATCAGCTGCCCCCCACCCCCCTTCTTCAAGGCTGCTTCTAGCTCCTTCTCCAAGCCAGCCAATAACAACCCTGCACATCGCTGAACCCTTCCTACATTCGCTGTCTACGCTGCTCAGTTGCTATTAAATAGAATTTGGGGGCTTTTAAAAAATTGTGTATTAGTTAAAGATTCTTTGTTGGTTACCAGCTTATAAAAATGGATTCTAACTTGCTTAAAATAGTAAGTCAACTCGTTAGAAAGCTACATCCCTTTGGTGTGCAAGATCAAGATTGAAGTGGGTTCAGATACCACTAGAGCTCTCTCTTCTCTCCCCCTCTCTGTGGGTCTACTTTATTCATCTCTCTTGCTACACATCCCCTCTCTGTTTTCCAAGCTATATGACAGTAAACATGTGTAAGTTACCAAAAAATTCTGCAGTCTTTGTTTTTAAAAATTCTCATGGAAGGGCCTCCCCGGTGGCGCAGCGGTTGAGCGCTGGGTTGCGAAGCTGCCCGCGGCCTCTGCGGCGCCGGTTCGATCCCCGGCTGCTCCTCGGCCACCGGAGGAGGGTCCCACATGGCGCGCAGACCTCTCCTGCCGCCCGCTGCTCCCCTCAGCAGTGTACTTCAGTCCTTCTGCCTGCTCTGCTCCCCACTCTGGCTCTGGTGAATTCTCTCACCCTCCCACGCTTCTGACTGTACCCAGTGCATGTATAAACAAAAACAAACAAACAAACAAATAAAATAAATAAATAAATAAAACATGCCTCTAAAAAAAAAAAAAAAAAAAAATTCTCATGGAAGAGATTGCATCACACAGTTTATTTTTTTTTTTTAAGATTTATTTATTTATGCATACAAGAGCTGGGGTACAGGCCAGAGATGCAGGGGGTGAGAGGATCCACCAGAGACAGAGCGGGGAACAGAACAGGCAGAGTGACTGAAATACACTGCTGAGGGGAGCAGCGGGCAAGTCAGGAGAGGTCTGCCTCACCATGTGGGTTGCTCCCTGGCCGGCCAGGGATCGAACTTGTGCTGCAGAGGCTGCGGACAGCTTCACAGCGCAGTGCCCAACCGCCTGCGCCACCAGGGAGGCCCAAAGAACCTTGTTTATGTTCCCAGCTGTATCCTTGCATCCTAGGACTGCCACTGGCACACAGTAGGCACTCAGCAAATGTTTGCAGAATGACTAATGAATCTCTGGATTGCCTTAGGGTTTGAGCAGTTATGGGCCCTGTTGTCAAGCTTAGAATTTTTGCAGGGACCGGACTCCTTTAAAACCTTAACCGGTCAATAGTCTGCTTCCTTCCTGTTGACTTGGCTTCCTAATGTGCTCACCAGTGCCAGAAATCCCGTCAAGTCACAGTCATTGAATACTAAGTCTGCTGAAGGGCACTGCCAGGGCCTGGCTGATGTGGTGTGGCTCCATCTCAGGGGTGGCGAGGCGGACATGCACACACAGCACCAGGCAGACGCACTTGTCAGCTAGAGACACGGTCACCTCTGTCTACTAGGGGCTGTGGGGTGGTGCCGGAACAGGGGGACCCGAATTTCTCTGATTCCTTTAACACCCCTGTTCCAACAGCCAGAGAGCCAAAGTTTATAAAATAGCAGTTTAGTTCTAAAGACAGCGGGGAATGTAGCTTCAAAGGAAACTGTGAGATTCTCTATTACTTGAATCCCAATTCAGACAAAAGGGGTTTCTTACATGTCCTGTTTTTTGTTTTTTTAAAGATTTATTTATTTATGTATACAAGAGCTGGGGGACGGGCCAGAGGTGCGGGGGATGAGAGGATTCACCAGAGTCAGAGTGGGGAACAGAACAGGCAGAATGACGGAAATACACTGCTGAGGGGAGCAGCGGGTGAGACAGGAGAGGTCGGCTACACCATGGGGGTAGCTCCCTGGTCGGCCAGGAATCGAACGCATGCTGCAGTGGGTGTGGAAAGCTTCACAGTGCTGTGCTTAACCAGCCTGCACCACCAGGGAGGCCCCAATTATCTGGTGTCTTATTACTTATTTCAATTATTATCTGTCTCCTCCTTTAGAACTCAAGTCCCTGAGAATTTTTGTTCACTATTGTATCCCCAGAACTGGCACTCAATAAATTTTTTTTGAATGAATAAACTTACATGGAGAGGCTGATCCTTTCTCTTTTTTTTTTTTAAAGATTTATTTATTTATTTATATAAGCACTGGGTACAGTCAGAAGCGCGGGAGGGTGAGAGAATTCACCAGAGCCAGAGCGGGGAGCAGAGCAGGCAGAAGGACCGAAGTCCACTGCTGAGGGGAGCAGCAGGCGGCAGGAGAGGTCTGCGCGCCATGTGGGACCCTCCTCCGGGGGCCAGGGAACAGCCGGGGATGGAACCTGCGCTGCAGAGGCTGCTGGCAGCTTCGCAACCCAGCGCTCAACCACTGCACCACAGAGGAGGCCCCGAGGCTGATCTCTCTTTCTTTTCTTTCCCTTTAAACAAACTATCTGAAGACAGCAGAGAATGGCTCAGAGGAACAGTGAGAAACATGGAAAGAGTGGGAGACTCTCCAGCAGCTTGAAGGGAGCTAGAGAGAAGTGGCTCCTCAAGTTCCAGCCAGCCTCCAGTGGGGGGGGGGGCAGGGTACCCCCTGACACTGCCCCTCCCAGATTAAATCAGGACCCCTTCTCAGAAGCTGTAATCATTACTATTGTAGCTTTGGCTGCTTGACACTCTCCCCGGTGCTTTCCATACACATCGGTTACAGATAGATCTGGGGCTCCATGCACCTTAGTCTTCCAACAGGGTCACAGAAGTTTAGAAAATACATTTTGAAAGCCAAAAGCAATTCCAGAACATGTCAAGTATCTTATGACACTCAGAAGACTCCTTGTCCAATGCAACTGTCCTTGAAATCCTTCCATCCCAGCAGCTTCCTTCACCATTGCTCCGTGTCTCTCCCCAAAATGCCCTCCAACTCCTCCCCTGAGGCTTAGTTTGGGTCTGTTATTGTTTTTTCTTATCATCCTTCCTCTTCATCTCCATCCTCAAAGTCCAAGTGGCGCAGGGAGGGCAGTAACCGGAAGCTAGCAGCTCGGGCGTGTTTATAATGTCCTGTGCCAGCCCGTGTGGCTTCTCATGCTCATCTCCACACGCGTGAATGTTGCTCTGACCACTTTACAGGGAAACTGCTGCCGAGAGACTTGCTGGGAGGGGCGGTGGCTGCGGCCAGTCTCCACCGAAAACCTGCACACTCTCCATTCACGACGGCGGGCTAGAGTCCAGGACACAATTGCCACTTCAGCTTCAGCAGCGACCTCCCCTGAGGACTGACCCCACAGCAGCCCTCCGTCCCTGCAGAATGTCCAACCAGGATTTGAGGTAAACTCTGACCGAGGGAGGCCCTCACCTCTGGGTCGGGCCTGGGGGAAGAGTTGCTGTGGTAATGTGACAGGGCAGGGAGAGGTGCACCCCAGACCCCCAAAACCTGCCTGTTCTAAACGGATTCTGCCATCCGCGGCATCAACACAAATCATATGAGACTTTAATGGGAAGGAACGTTAATACAATTAGGAAACAATACAGCAAAGACAAAGAATCTGGTTTCTAAATCAAGCACCCAAAGTGACCCGTCCCCTCGTGGGTAAAAGTCCACGCAAGCAGGATTGGCCCAGAGCAAGGCCCCAAAGCCTGCCACAAGTCTAAAGCATCTTCCAGTGGGGGCCCACAGAAAAGAATCAATAGACAAAGAGCAAAATCAAAATCAAGACAAAACCCGCCACTATCACCTCCCCATGTGGGTCTCACCCACATCTGTGTCACCCAGTCCACGACCAAAAGACAAGTGCAGTTTCTTCACGTGTCTCTTGGCTCCATGTGCCTCCTCCAGGTCTCTTCCTAGATCTCCATCCTGCTTCCTCCTTCCTCAGTCTCCTCTGCAGCTTCTTCTCTCTCTGCTCAGCTCCACCCTCCCTTGGGTGGGGCAGGGAACCTGGAACCTCCCCCTTTCCTGGGGACCCCCCTGTTACAGTAACAACACATCACTCAGCAACTCTTCCAGAGACCTTAGTATAAACTGAGTCCTGGGGCAGTTGTGTGTGTGTCTCATTTACCCCACCCCAGTATACAAAAAGGGAAAAAGTGTGTGCGTGCACACACACACACACACACACACACACACACACACTTACAGACATATGAAAGGAATATGGCTAAATTAATTTGTAAATTGTTTGGTCTGCATGTTCTCCAATGCAAAATCTAAGTCACAGTCCTATTTGTTCTCAGCAAGTTTGTTGCTTGCTTCTTTGTGAGAAAATCTATTGTCTATTCTTAACCACTTCTAGAGACTCTACCTCAAATATCTTGCTCACCATCTGCCTCTGGCCTGAAAGATAAGCAAATTTAGTAGGTTGAAGTGAGTCTGAGAAACCTTTGTTTTCTACTTTCAGTCTTTCAAAGCTTCTGCTGAACCAGGATGAGGGGCCCACCTTATGTAAAGTGTGACTTTACTTTCAACTGGAATCAGATAATCTCAGAAGTTTAACCCTGGTTATCTTGTGCTGACAGAAATGTGTGTTCTCTTGTTATGAATAATAGCTACCATTTACCAAACTCATCAATTTATTTAATCCTCGCAAAATCCCTTGAGGGATTTTACAAGGGGAAGGGGGAGAGGAGGAAGAAGGAACAAAAGATCAGAGAAATGAGGTGACTTGCTTAAGTAAACAGGATAAAATAACCAGAATTCAAATTCAGTTCTGCCTGACCTTCAGCCTGACATAAAGTTGCAGCATGTTTTCCACACAAGGCCCTAAGAGTGGGCCGAGCCAGAAAGCAGGCTTTGGGTGGAAGCTCTAAAGCTGATGCCCCAGGACTTTCTGCACCCCTTAGGGCCACAGAGAGCAGAGCTGGCTCTCTGGACCTCCCTCCCAGAAGCCCTTGCAGCCGCCTACCTGTGGGGTTAGGGCAAGAAGCGTCAGCCCAGGTGACTGCAGCGCCCCCTGAAGGAAGTGGCGGGTACTCCGAGCTCAGGCCTCGCACCTGTCTGTAACCAGACCTGGGGGAGGGAGGGAGGCCAGGTCGGCCTCAGGAGCTTGTAGGCAGTGTCAATGGCTGCAATAGGGGTGTCTACACACCCGTGGGACTGAGGTCTGGGGCGCGGCCGTTCCTACCCTTTCTCGGCTCCTGCCCTCCGTCCGTCTCTGCCAAAGTCCAGCCCTGGCCTCGGGCCTCCCTGGCTCACTCTGCTTCCCCCCTCCGTGGCCTAGTATCGCAGCAAAACTCATCAACGGAGGTGTGGCGGGGCTCGTAGGGGTGACCTGTGTGTTCCCCATCGACTTGGCCAAGACTCGCCTGCAGAACCAGCAAGGGACGGATGTCTACAGAGGAATGTAGGTATCCGCAGGGGCTAGGAGGGCGGGAGAGGAGCCCCCAGGGAGGGCAGGGCCTCACCTCTCCCAGCTTTCTCCAGGGAGTGGATGAGGGTGTGTGTGGGTGGGGGGCTAGGAGGAGTCAGTCAACTGGGGGGGTGCCCGGCTGGTCAGGGCACGGGGTGGGGAGGGGGCTGATGGCAAGCCTCGTGCCCACCTTGACATCCTTTTGCCCACCTCCAGGATTGACTGCTTGGCCAAGACCGCCCGGGCCGAGGGCTTCTTCGGCATGTACCGAGGTAGGCTCTGCAGGCCCAGGAGGCCCGGCTGCGGCGCTGGAAACAGGGTGGCGTGGGGGGCTGCAGATTGTGATTTCTAGAACGCTGGGAATTGGTGCTCCTTTTGCCCAATGAGGCCTGGCCTAGCTGAACCCCATTTGCGTTGCTTATGCCCTTGTGTTCTTTGATGGAGACAGAGGTAGTTATGGTTCTGGGTAAGGTTTTGGGGGGCGCCCGCGAGCAACTGAGCTTGGGGTTCCATCCTGGCACCACCATTGCTGATGATTTTGAAGTGAGTGAGCAGCCCCGCAGCTAACCCCCACCCCAAACCTCTCAGGGCACCCAGCCACACAGGAGAGGCGGGGGAGCTGACAAGCGTAGAGTTTGAGCTCCTAGAAGGAGGTACTGGGTGATTGTCCCTGACACCCAATGCTGCCCCTGCACCCTGGGGTCTCCATTCAGGGCAGCATAGCTGTGACCAAGCCTTGGAAAATGGTTACAAAGCTGTGTTGGCAAGCAGCTGATAAGCTAGAACACCTGAGACATGAAACCACCTCCTCTGCACACCCCCAGCACCCCATAGTGCCAGTGGGACTGGGCTAGTGCGGCAGTCACTGAAACCCAACCCCTGCCCCCCAGGACCTTCTTGATTTTGTTTTATTTTTTAAGATATATTTATTTATACAAGAGCTGAGATATAGATCAGAGGTGTGGGGCGTGAGAGGATTCACCAGAGACAGAGTGGGGAGCAGAACAGGCAGATGGACCCAAAACACTGCTGAGGGGAGCAGCGGGTGAGACAGGAGAGGTCTGCTGCGCCATGTGGGGATCAAACCCGCACTGCAGTGGCTTCAGACAGCCTCACAGCGCTGGGCTCAACCCGCTGCGCCAGGGAGGAGGCCCCCCAGGACCTCCTTACCGGGGCTTCCTTTGGGAAACTGCTCATTTATCACTGGAGATGGGCAGCCCTAGCAAGTATAAAAATAACTGCCTAAAAAATACAAATAACTGGTGAATCTTCGCATCAATGAGCCTAGACAGGAAACACATTACATTAAAAAAAAGAAACATGGTGGGAACAGAGTGAAGTAGGGAAATGAAAGGAAAATTTACATTTCAAAACAGGAGGAGGAAGCCTCCTTGACGCTAGTCCCCAAGAGCCCCCTGACTCCCCAAAACATATCTGTGTAGGACTGAGGGGCAGACTCTGGCCATCATTACTGCTGAGGTAACCTAAAGGCCCGGCCTTCGTTTTTCCCCTCCAGGGGCCGCGGTGAACCTAACCCTGGTCACTCCAGAGAAGGCCATCAAGCTGGCAGCCAACGATTTCTTCCGGCAGCTGCTGATGGAAGACGGGTATGGCCAGGAGGGGGTGAGGAGCAAACGCTCACCGTACGTCGGTGGGTTTCTACATCTGAGTTCTGATTTCCCAACACCGTTTATTAAAGACACTGCTCTTTGCTTCACTGAGTATTCTTGTCAAGGACCTGACAATTCACTGAGCACCCCTTGTCAAATGTGAGCTGATTCCACATGTGTGGGCTTATTTCCAGGCTCCCCTTCTGTCCCATGGATCTTATGTGTGTGTTGGCAGTTCTCTTGGTGCCTCCCGTTGCTCTAACGACTTATCTTAAGGGATCAAGAACACATGCGTCCCTACAATGGGTACAGGCTGGGGTACAGGCCAGATATGTGGGGGATGAGAGGATTCACTAGAGACAGAGTGGGGAACAGAACAGGCAGACTGACTGAAACACACTGCTGAGGGGAGCAGCGGGTGAGACAGGAGAGGTCTGCTGCACCATGTGGGTAGCTCCCTGGCGGGCCGGGGATCGAATTCATGCTGCAGAGGCTCCAGATTGCTTCAGGGTGTGGTGCTTAACCCCTTGCGCCACCAGAGAGGCCCAGGTGCTACCTGTTTTAACATTAGTTGTGTGTCTTTAAGAAGACGGAGTCTGGCCTCCCTGGTGGCGCAGCGGTTGAGCGCTGGGTTGCGAAGCTGCCGGCAGCCTGTGCGGTGCCGGTTCAATCCCCGGCTGCTCCCCGGCCACCAGAGGAGGGTCCCACATGGCGCGCAGACCTCTCCTGCCGCCCGCTGCTCCCCTCAGCAGTGTACTTCGGTCCTTCTGCCTGCTCTGCTCCCCGCTCTGGCTCTGGTGAATTCTCTCACCCTCCTGTGCTTCTGACTATACCCAGTGCTTGTATAAATAAATAAATCTTTAAAAAAAAAAAAAAAAAAAAGAAGACGGACTCTTAGGCACAGGTGATTTTTCACCCAGCTGATTGATTGGCAGCCAATGAGGACAAGGCTAAAGGCCATGCCCGGAAAATCCCATCAGCCAGGGAGGGTAGAGGGCCTGATGGGCAGCGGGGCTGCCTGGGACTGAAGGGGCCTTGGTCCCACAGGATGCAGCGGAACCTGAAGATGGAGATGCTGGCGGGATGCGGAGCTGGAATATGCCAGGTGGTGGTTACCTGCCCCATGGAAATGCTCAAGATTCAGCTGCAGGATGCTGGGCGCTTGGGTAAGGCCTCCCCCGACTTCACATGGGATCAGAAAGGGCTGAGCAGAACAGACTTCTCCACGTTCTGTGTGATGCCACCGCTTCCTAAGTCAGTAGAAGTCTTTATTTCAGTCACAATTCTAGATGTGAGTCCTGCCAGCTTTGAATAAATAGCAGGAACGAGAATCTTGATTCAGGAAGATGGGCAATACTGATATTGCCTTGACATTTAGGCCTGATTTCCTAAAGAGTTCAAGAAATGTCCACACCTGCTCATGAGCAGGTCAGTCAGTAGAAGCTCTATTTTTTTTTTTTTGTAATTTTTAACATTTATTTATTTAGGCATACAAGAACTGGGGTACAGGCCAGAGGTGCGGGAGGTGGGAGGATTCACCAGAGCAGAGTGGGGAGCAGAACAGGCAGATCTACTGAAATACACTGCTGAGGGGAGCAGCGGGTGAGACAGGAGAGGTCTGCTGCACCATGGGGGTAGCTCCCTGGCCGGAGATCGAATTTGTGCTGCAGTGACTGGGGAGAGCTTCGTAGTGCTGCGCCTTAACCCCTTGCACCACCAGGGAGGCCCCGGGAGATGGTTTTATAAATGAAAGGTCAGAAACAGGTTTAACAGGAGTAAGGAGGCGGGAGGGGTGGACACACTAGATCTCCATAAAGAAAGCCACGGAGGCAAAGGCTGTGCCCCAGAAGCATCCTTGCCGCAGGCACAGTGCTCTAGAGAATGCACAACTTAGATTCCATCGGAGCCCAGAAACGAATGTTCTGAAAGTCGCGTGTTCTAGCTCTTTTAGAATTTGTCTAGGTTTTCCAGTCTCCCTGGGAGACACCCCCCTTCATGGGAAAAAAAAATTAAATAAATAAAAGTAGGACAAGCCTCAGGACTCTAGTTGGGTGTCAGCCGTGCTCCGATTGTCCCAACCACCGCGACGGGGAGTCTCTCGGGGCCCGCGGGGCCTGGGTTGTGACGGGGCGTCCTTTTCCTTTCAGCCATCCAGCATCAGGGCTCCGCCTCAGCGCCCCCCGCCGCCTCCGGGTCCTATGTTCCTGGCTCGCCGTCCGCCTCCAAGCGCCCGTCGGCCACCCTCATCGCCTGGGAGCTGTTTCGTACCCGAGGCCCGGCTGGTCTCTATAAGGGGCTGGGTGCCACTCTCCTCAGGTGAGGTTTCTCCTCAGATTCGGGGCCCCAGGAACGGGGAGGGAGTGAAGGAGCAGGCACTGCTGCCCCGCCTTGTCTCTGTCTGCTCCTGGCCGGGTAAACCCAGCTCGCGGGCAGGTTCTCCTGCTTCCTCTGCGGCCGGCATCGGGCAGGCTGCCCGGAGTAGACTCGAGGAGGCCTCTTCTCCGATGATTGGGCCCACACAAGTCCTGGGTGTTCTGTGCCCAAAGGCACCTAGGAATGCCCTGTCTGCAAAGATTGTATAGAAGATCGTGTACAGGAATAGACAGACCCTCTCATCTTACGTTGCTACTTGGCCCAAATCCTTCCAGTGGGTCAGAAGCAGCCCAGCCCCGGGGATGGTTTTCTTCAGTGTAGATATAGGATGCAGGTGTGGCCCCTTCCACGCACTCAGTACTTAGCTCCAAGCTCTTCACCAGTCCCTTGCTCAACTTCTTTTTTTTTTAAATTTTTAAAAAGATTTATTTATTTATTTATGCACACAAGAACTGGGGAACAGGCCAGAGGTGGGGGGCAGGGGGTGAGAGGATTCACCAGAGACAGAGTGGGGAGAAGAACGGAGGGATCTACTGAAATACACTGCTGAGGGGAGCAGCAGGCAAGTCAGGAGAGGTCTGCTGCGCCATGTGGGTAGCTCCCTCGCTGGAGATCAAACCCGTGCTGCAGTGGCTGTGGACAGCTTCATAGGTTGTGTCCTAACCCCTTGCACCACTAGGGAGGCCCTGCTCAACTTATTGTTACCTTACCCAGCCTGCCCCCTTTTATAGACCGTTCACCATCATTGACTCTGCTGCCTCACATAGCAGGAGCTGGTACTCAGTCGTGAGTTGGGAGGGTCGGAGGAGGCATCTCTTTTTCCTTTCATGTGGTCTTTTGTCCTGTGTCATCATGGGGTGCCAGAGTAGGAGTAAATCATTGTGGTCTTGCCTCTGACTTGTCTGATGAGCCCTACTGCTCCTAAGAAGGGGTGATGTCTGGAGTGGGGTGGAGCCCCAAGCTGCATGCAGCTCAGTGTTTCCTCTTCCTTGCCTGCAGAGATATTCCCTTCTCCATCATCTACTTCCCACTGTTTGCCAACCTGAACAGCCTTGGCATCAATGAATTGACCGGGAAGGCCTCCTTTGCACATTCCTTTGTATCAGGCTGTGTGGCAGGCTCCACAGCTGCTGTGGCGGTTACACCTCTGGATGGTAAGTGCACCAGAGATGTAGGGGCTTCAAGGGGTGACTTGTTTACAAATGAGGCATGTCTAGTTGCCTACTGTTTTTTTTTTTTTTTTAAGATTTATTATCTATGCATACAAGAGCTGGGGTACAGGCCAGAGATGCAGGGGGTGAGAGGATTCACCAGAGACAGAGTGGGGAACAGAACAGGCAGACTGGCTGAAATACACTGCTGAGGGGAGCAGCGGGCGAGACAGGAGAGGTCTGCTGTGCCATGTGGGTTGCTCCCTGGCCAGCCAGAGATGGAACTCTTGCTACAGAGGCTGCAGATTGCTTCATAGTGCGGTGCTTAATGCCTTGCACCACCAGGGAGGCCCATCTACTGTTTTTTAAATTTTTTTGTAGAAGAACTGGGGTATAGGCCAGAGGGGTGTGTGGGGGTGGTGAGAGGATTCACCAGAGACAGAGTGGGGAGCAGAAAAGAGGGATTGATTGAAATACACTGCTGAGGGGAGCAGCAGGTGACACAGGTCTGCTGCACCAGGTGGGTCAGCTCTCTGGCCAGGGATCGAACTCAGGCCCTAGTGGTGACAGCGCTGACTTAACCCCTAGGCCACCAGGGGGGCCCTCTACTGCTCATCTATAGGATGAACAGTAATTCTGTATCTTTAGGTTAGAGGGGGTGATCTTTTATTACAGCTCACACAGGCAGAGCTGGCTGCAGGACTGTTGCGTGTGCTGGTTGTAAAAGGAAACCCAGCCACTTCATGCTGAGACCACGGCCAAAAGCTAACTTTCACTATTTCACTTTTGCTTTAGTTTTGAAAACGCGAATCCAGACCCTGAAGAAAGGCCTGGGTGAGGACAGCTACAGCGGGGTCACTGACTGTGCCAGGTGAGACTCCGTGTCCTTCGTCAATCATGGCTGGGACAGTCCGCTCTGCGCTGGTGTCTGCCCGCACCCCACTTAGAAAACAATTTTGTTACTGCACACTCAACTCTGGGCTTTGGAATCGGCCCCTTTCCCTCATCTTTTTCTTTTAAAGATTTATTTATTTATTTATGGGGGTGAGAGGATTCACCAGAGACAGAGTGGGGAACAGAACAGGCAGACTGACTGAAATACACTGCCGAGCGGAGCGGCGGGCGAGTCAGGAGAGGTCTGCTGCGCCATGTGGGTAGCATCCTGTCTGGGGATCGAACATGTGCTGCAGTGGCTGGTGATAGCATGACAGCGCTGTGTCTTTAACCCTTGCGCCACCAGGGAGACCCCTTTTCTCATCTTTCAACAAGTCTTGAGAGCTTCATTCTTCTTCCTTGCATCCCTACAGCATCTTTCTCCCAGAGTCTAGCCAGACTAGAAAATAGGTCACGCCTGTGTTCCAGGCCATGGGCTGAGAGCTGCACACCCCACAGGCCAACTGGGCATGTGGCTCTGGTCACTGCAGTGACACCTGCTCTCACAGGGAAGGGCCCAAAGCCGGCGAGGCCACCACAGCCTCTGCGTGTTGGCTCACTGGGCTCTGCTTTCTCTTCAGGAAAGTCTGGCTTCAGGAGGGACCATCTGCCTTCATGAAAGGAGCGGGCTGCCGGGCCCTCGTCATAGCCCCCCTCTTCGGGATTGCCCAAGGTGTCTACTTCCTCGGGATAGGAGAGCGCATCTTAAAGTTCTTTGAGTAGACGTAGTGGGGCACGGGCCCCTGCACCTGCCACCGTCTTTCTAGCCCCCGGCACCTCGAGCAAGATGGCTCGGCCGTGCCGTGTGTTGTCCTCTAACGTAGTGCTACCTCAATCTTGGAAGAAACCACCATATACTAACAAGCAGGCTGGGTAGGGCCCTGTTCTCCCTTCATGGTTCTGCATTTGTTTTCTCTGGGGCTGTAGCTCCCAGGGACTTCGGCAGCCCCTAACAACCTACTTTCCACCACGGTGAAAACAGTGCTTGCCCTGTTATTAACCACAGGAACTTACCAGTAAAGAGAAGGGTGGTTTCTGCAGCTTACATTTCTATTTGACATGCAAACTGAGTATACTTGAGCCAATTTGAGGATCTAGTTTTGTTAATTCTGAATTCTGTAATTTATGGGTAGCCCTAGGCACTGATCTGGGGGATAAAAGGAGGATCAGAAGTGCAAGGGGCCATGAAAAGCCTCAAAGCGAGCGCCTAGTTTGAAGCCAAGCGAATCCTTGCGAATGGCGGAGGGGTTGGGCTGGTTTAAACTGAGCGGCCAGAGCAGAGCTGCCAGCTCTGCTGCCCCCTCCTTCTGGCACAGGGGCTCCTGCAGCCCAGGGACCACGGCTACTTCATAAATAACGTGACTAGTTAAGATCTTGTCTCATTAGTGGGAAAAGCAGACGGGGACAATGAAGAGGATCTCAGCAGCTTTTCTGTGCCCTTCAAATCCAACACATTACCACGAGCACCGAAGCTGGTCTCTAGCACTAACTTGTAAGAAGGCGGAGAACAGCCAAAGGGATATTTTTTAAGTCACCTTGATTTTAAGTCTTGATCCAATCACTGCATAATCACATCCCTCTGAGGAACGAGTTTGCTGTCTCAGCGCGCCCAGCTCCCTCCCCCAGAAGGCTGCTCTAGTGAGATGGAACCACACACACACTTGGGGTCATGTCCAGCAAAAAACCTGTTTTGAGGAGTTGGTGTTTACATTAGCCCCGCCTAAAACTTAAGTGAACGAGAAAAGGTCAGCCTCAGCAGCCGTGTTCTCTACCTGGAGCGTGGGATCGGGACACAGACCTGAGGTAAAATTCCACTCAGTAGCTGCAAGACCTTAGGCAATCTCAGTAGTCATCGGAGGAAAGCACAAAGAATGAGAAGCGGAAGAAAAGGACCTTTGTGGAAGGGTTTATTCAGGCCTAACACAAGTAACTCCTCTCGAGATACCCGGTTTCTTTTCTGACTCCGCCAAAGCTAATAAAACTGTTTCCTCAATAAAGCTGTCAAACCCTCGAACACCTGTGTGTGTGGTGTGTGCGTTACAATCGCGAGGGGTTGGAAGGGATATTTCCGGGGAAGGGTCTGGTTAAAATGAGCAGGAAGCACCAAGGACACAATGGTTTCAAGAATTGACAGTGGTCAACCAGCAGATGCTTAAGGGATTTGGAACATGCTGCTTTTCTAGACACCCTGGTAAGACCTGACTCTCTCACATCACAAATTCGCAGTGCCCTGGCATAATAATTTACAATGAAATCCACGTAAACCTTTTGTTTTAATAAATAAAGCATATTCATGGCTTAGATTTTCAATCACATTTACAGATGAGGAAAACGACTAGGCCCAAACAGGTAACAGTGAAGCTACGACCGCTGGGAGGAATGTGTGCCCCACATGCATTTTAAGCCTGAAGAGATTTAACAGTGGAGAACACCTTACCCACCACCCTCTACACTGGATAACTGGAACCAGACAAAGAGCAGCAAACTTGAATTTCATGCAACCACCATCTGGTCCCCTCACCTTGATGCTGCAGAAGCAAGCGAAAGTTGGGTAACTTTCTCTCATTGTTAATTAGGCCAAGGGCATTAGCTACAGAAAGGTATCCACTGATAAATACAGAATATTAGTACAGCAAGGAGGAAATTACAGAGATAATCTTGTTTCTTCAAATAGCAGAAACTTCCATATCACAGCTGTAGAGCAGTGGGTGAACTCCGCCTCCCACAGGTTTAATCCAGAAACTTCCTGTTGGCATTTGCACCAAACAAGGCTCCCCGTACTTCTGGCATCATCTGTGAAGAGAAATTCTTTAATAAATAAGCATCATTGACTGGAGAACTTGGAAACGATGGCGTATCTTAGCCACAGGTGGCAAGTCACTGGGAAGAAGACTCCCAAAGCTCAGTGCACCAAATCTGTCCTGGACTCCCCAAAGCCCTGGAGCAGAATCCTTGGTGAGAAACTCTGCCGACTGCACATTAGCGGTTACGACTGCCTCTTTACAAGACACCAATAAAAAAAACCTGAAACACTAAAGTCACTGTGTAAGTGACATAGGGAGAAAACATGAGTCCATTAATAATAACACCACCTCATCATGGTATTTTGGCCATCTCCAATGTCTGTTAATTCAACAACTATTGTGGGCCTACTGTGTGTCAAGCAGAACACTTACAATGTAAGTTGTGCTGAGGCGCGCATTATGGCTACTGAGAAGTCTTTAGGCTTTAACTTCAAACTTCTAAGACTGCGCAGTATGTAGTCTCTAGCCACACGCGGCTACTGCACATCTGCAATGTGGGGTGACACAGCTGTAAGGTTGTGATAATACTCAAGGTCAAATGCTTCAGCTGTAAGACAGGCCAGCTGTCCAGCGCCGCTGCGCTCCACGATGCAAGGAAGCCCGGCATTCTGGGACAACTGGATTTTCCTCCTTGTTTCCTAGACTTTATTTCTGCAAACATGGAAACATCTGAAGAGGCAGATGTTTCAGTCCCTTTGGAAGTATATTTGCTGTGGTGCCCATCATCCTTGCTGGAGCACTCTGGCCAGCACAGCTACATGGAGTAGAATCTAAATACCGCAATCTCAGATGAAGCCCTGGCCTGGCCCCAATTCCTCCCGCGTGTGAACGACATCTCCTCAGCAAATGCCTAATCCCCACTCCTTCCAGAAAATGTCAAAAATGCTGAGTGACAAATCTCAAAAACCAGTGAACAGACATGTTCTCTGTGCAACTTCAAAATTACAGACCGGCTAATGAGAAGCATTCCCACACTCACCTGCTGGGCGATGAGGTCCAGCCGGCTTTCGAGGGTATTGGAAACCTTTATTTTACGATCCCCGTTGTAGATCTCAACTCCACCAGCTCTGTAAAGAACACAGGAAATAACGACTTTTACAGATTTGAGCAAGACCGACACACATGGTACATTTACTCCATTCCCTTGGAGGAAAGGCGTTCTGGTGGATGGGGTGCCTAAATGCCACAAGGGGGCCAATAAAAACAAACATAAACAATAAGCTTGACATTGATTCAGAAAGCTTCTGAGGATTTAAGATGTGTGCTGGTAATACCGCATGTACCAAGTGACGCTGTTATACTATCTGATTTAATTTTATTTATTTATTTATTTGTTTGTTTGTTTGTTTTTGTTTTGTTTATACATGCACTGGGTACAGTCAGACGCGCGGGAGGGTGAGAGAATTCACCAGAGCCAGAGCAGGGAGCAGAGCAGGCAGAAGGACCGAAGCACACCGCTGAGGGGAGCAGCGGGCAGCAGGAGAGGTCTGCGCGCCATGTGGGACCCTCCTCCGGTGGCCGGGGAGCAGCCAGGGATCGAACCGGCGCTGCAGAGGCCGCGGGCAGCTTCACAACCCAGCGCTCAACCGCTGCGCCACCGGGGAGGCCCTATCTGATTTAATTTTAACACCCAGTTCTCCTCATAAGTATGAAAAGCGGAAGGAGTTAGTTCCAGTTTGCAAATCTACAGGGAAGGAGCTTTCCTTCCACTCCTTCTGGAAGGTCAGGTCCTGCTACTCATCAGAGGGCGCTGGCACAGCAGTGCTCCCAGTGCACAGTGTGGCAGAGGGAAGGCTCGCTGCAGCCAGCCAGACTCAGCCCCGGCCAGTCCTGCCTCTAGTCACACCTCCCATAGCCATTTCTTTCCTCAAACAGGTCTTAGAGGCAAACAGGTCAGAGTCAGTCACAATGAATTTCAGGGACAAAAATTCGATTGCTGCATTAGAATTTTAGCAAATGTTTCTCGAAAGAAACAGGCTGTGAAAGAAAGGTTGTGAAAGGTTTTGCAAATTTTCTTTGGAAAATTTTAATGGACTGTGAGCTTAATAATATTTTCTCGTTCCACCTTTGTCAGAGTGTCCTTCCTAAGGGCACAATTGGTTCTTTGCTGAAGTCCTGACCCGTCTGTGATACAATGCTTCATTTCCATGGCAGGACAGCGGGAGGGAAAAGCACCAGGAAGCGAGCACAGCGCCTGTGTGCCAGGCACCCACGGGCCGGAAAGCCAAGGGTTTTTCACAACTTCCGATAACCCTGTGCGAGTCTTGGTATCCTTGTCATCTTACAAACAAGGAAACAGGCTAGTGAGGCTGAGTAAAAGCCTGAATTTTTGTAATTAAGTGACAATATTTTAAAAATCCACTTTAAATTGCACTGGAAGAAGTTCACAGTCCTTTATCTGCAAGTCTGAAATTCAAAAAGCTTTGAAAACAAAAGTCTAATTCATGTGGCTCCAAACTAGCTTTCCAGTCAGCTGGCAGTAAATGACTAGCGAGTCTCTGTCTCCTGCAGTGTGACTATTCCTGTTTCCATTCAGAAGCATCACTCTGTCTGATTATGGGGAATGAGGACTCAGAACCTGTGGAAAATATTACATAATATGTGGCATATATTATTTTTTTAAAGATTTATTTATTTATGCATACAAGAGCTGGGCCAGAGGTGCAGGAGGTGAGTGGATTCACCAGAGACAGAGTGGGGAACAGAACAGGCAGATTGACTGAAATACACTGCTGAGGGGAGCAGCGGGTGAGACAGGAGAGGTCTGCTGTGCCATGTGGGTTGCTCCCTGGCCAGAGATTGAACTCATGCTGCAGTGGCTGTGATAGCTTGATTGTGCTGAGACTTTAATCCCCGTGCCACCAGGGAGGCCCTGTGGCATATATCCTTTATGATTTTCTAGATGCTGAAATTCAAAACATTGGTTTTAGGAATAGTGCTCATGACTGAAACCTATTATTTATCAGACCCTGAACTAAGTGTTTCTGTCCTGTCTGTCTAATCTCCACAACAGTGACTATCTGACAGGAGTATGACCCCCTATACTGAGCACTGAGCATGCTCCAGACATTCTGCTAGTGCTGGAGAGATACCATCTCATTTAGGCACCCAAGCTTCCTGTGAGGAGGGTGTGATTATCCCAGTTTCGATGAGGAAATCAAGGTTCAGTGAGATTAAATAACTAGTCCAAAACTACCTAGGCTCGCAAGAGGCAGTGTGGAGAATCAAGTTTCAATCTGGCCTTAGTGCTTAAGATTTTTTTTAAACCACCTTATACATCATCTCAGTTTATAAAGCATTTTCACATTTCACATATACTATCTCCTGGCTTTTCCTCACTTTATGAGACAAAAACATCGATCCCATTTTACAGATGACAGACTTCAGTCCCCAGGTCCCAGAGACAGCAAAGGTCAAGCCCACCATTTCAGCTACATTCCCGAGTCCTGCCGACTCCAGTTGGTCAGTGGTGTGCCTGGGCAGCATCACCGAAGATGTAAGTGACCCTGGCTCAACCCTGCCAGGAGCTCTGACTGCTGTCCTGACTGCACCAAGTTTATGAGTAGTGCAGGCAAGATGTCCTGTCATTTCCTCCCGTGCACCCTCACAAGTACCATGGACAGTTGCCATTCTAGAGCCACGGAACCCTAACAACTGGCAACATCACTACTCTTCTTGGGTTTTGGTAATGATGTAGAGGTACAGATCCATCTTGCTCCCCATCTAATCAGAAGATCACTGATTCCAGCTTTGAGTTTGGGGTACAGAATCGATGCTGCGTCTTTGCAGCGTGAACTGGGTGACCACAAGCATGTCCAGATGGTTGACAAAGGAAAACAACCCAGAGCGCTGACAGAAGAGGTGCAACAGCTGCAGTGGACACAGCCTCGCCGTTCCCCTCAAGGCTAAGACAGCCAAAGAGAAAACCCACTCTACAGGCCCAGTGGACAGACCAGTCTCCCTGCCAGGGGAACTACATGTTAAAAGCAGAAATGTTCCTTACATTTCCTCAGGCAGGAAGGCCTCCTGATCAACTTGAACGTCAAGATCTTTTTTGGTGGCAATTTTGTACATAGGGATTGCTTTTTGCACCGCCGCCTGGAAAGCAAAAATGATAAAAGGTTTCAGCAAAAAAAGATCAACAAAATATACAAGCAAGGATAGTCCTATTTATTTCAAGTAGAGTAACAGATGCATTGTTGGTGGGGATAGAAAACGGTGCAGACATCGTGGAAAACCATATAACAGTTCCTCAAAAAAAAAAAAAAAAAAACACAAAACAATTACTTTTTGACCCAGCAATTCCACCTCTGGGCATATATTCAAAACCTGTGACAGCAAAACTCAAACAGATATCTGTGCGCCCAGGCTCACCCCAGCATTGCTCACAATAGCCAAAAGGCAGAAGTAAGCTTGGTGTCGATGACAGAGGCTGGATAAACAAAATGCGGTAGAGACATCACTCAGCCTTAAAAAGGAAATCCCGACACATACTACACCATGGGTGAGCCCAGAAGACACCACGCTAAGTGCAATCAGCCCATCACCACAGGACACACACTGTAGGATTCCCCTTAACGGGGTACTTAGAATAGTCAAATTCATAGAGACAGACAGTAGCAAGGTGGTTCCCGGGGGCGGGGGCGGGGGGAAGGGGTAGTTTGTGTTCAAAGGTACTGAGTTTCCGTTTGGGAGGATGAGGATGTCCTGGAGATGGGCAGTGGCGACGGCTGCACGACAATGGGAATGCACTTCATGCAAATGTACGCTTGTAATAGTAATTTAATGTCTGTACACTTGTTCGCAATTTACAAGAGAAATGAGCTCGCTGGGGTGAGGCGGGTGGGTTTTCAATGCCATGAGTGTGTTGAGTCCTACCTGTGAGCAACGCTGTGTCTATTCTGGTAGACACATAAACTCGACTTTCTCCCTAACAATATTACTAGTTGAACAGATTTACCGGTGTCCTCAACTCTTACCTGCTTCCCAGATCGAACACAGTACCACTTAGGAGAGCTACCCCCTGACATGGCACTGACACTGTTGGTTTCTTTTTCTTTTTTTTTTATTTATTTTTTTTATTTTATTTTTTTATTTTATTTTATTTTTTTTTTTGCTTTTATGTTGCTTTTATTGCACACACAGTAAGCCATCCTTAGTATGAAATTAATGGTTAGATATACAAATGTGTAAGACAAGAGAAAACCTGGCAAGGGGGAATCCTCATTTTGATTTGAGACAAATATAAACTCCAATTAGCCGTAATCAGCAACTTTTTTTCTTTTATACAAGTAACAGACAAGCTTGGTAATCTAACTCTTCTTAATTGGTGCTTAGGACTCTACAAAGTTCTTAACTTTTTTTAAAGATCATTTTGAAAACAAAGCATTAATTTGACATACAGTAAAAGCACAGTACAAATACCCAAATTTCAGATCTGGCTTTTGCTATATAAGAGTTTACAAATAAACATTTTTCCCTTCCAGATAATAATTTAAAATATAAATAACTGTATTAAATCCCACTGACTACAGAATGTGAAAGTTCGTGGTATAAAAACAATAAAGTTAAAATTTTGGTAGTCATTTCATTTTATGGTGGGACAGAGACTGGATTTTGTTTGCTTTCCATAATTACTTCACAGTCTCCCTCCATTTCAAAATTGAGATTCACAAATGAACTGGATACCATGGTTTCTGGCTGATCTGTTTGAATAATGGAATCAGCTTGCAGCTTATTCTGCTGGTACTGTCTTTCTGCTTCTTCAGACATCCTGTTTTCTTCTTCTTCTTCTTCTTCCTCCTTCTTCATCCGGTAATACTCATCAATGGCATACTGGTATTTTGGGGTGCTGATGCCCAAAACAGATGCAATCTTCTCTCCAAGAAAGTCACACACTGAGAGGGTTGATGTTGCAGCACGAAGCATGTAAAACCATAAGTAAGGGCCCCAGGTAAGTTTTGTCGGATCAACAGTGGGTAAAACATCTTTCTTCTCCACGCTGTCAACTTCATCTTCATCTGTGCTATATTCTTCCATTGTTTCACCACTAACAAAGTGGATGACTCTCCTTGGAACTTTCTTCTTTTTTCCTATGACTCCCAGCTCTACAGTCTCAAAGCCTCTTTCATTACTCATCTGCGGCGCTGGTTCCCTGAACGCCGCGGCGGCCGCGGCTCCCGAGGCTGTGAGCGCGTCTCCGCCTTCCGCACGGCTCCCTGGCTCCCGCTCCATGGTCGTCGCCGCCACAGAGCTGCCGGCGCCGCAGCGCCCGCCTCGGCCACTCCCAGCCGCGCCACAGCGGGAGGGACCCCGCGGCCCTGAGGGGCGGGGCCGGCGGGCGCCGCACCCACCAGGCTCCGCAACCCCAAGTCGCCGACGACCTTTTTCTTTTTTTTTAAAAGATTTATTCATGCATACACAACGAATACACGAACTGGGGTACAAGCCAGAGGTATGCGGGGGTGAGAGGATTCACCAGAGACAGAGTGGGGAACAGAACAGGCAGAGTGACTGAAATACACTGCTGAGGGGAGCAGCGGGCAGGATAGGAGAGGTCTGCTGCTCCATGTGGGTAGCTCCCTGGCTGGGGATCGAACTCGTGCTGCAGTGGCTGCAGATAGCTTCACAGTGCTGCGTCTTAACCCCTTGCACCACCAGGGAGGCCCCGACACTTAGTTTCAAGAAAAAAACCAATGTCATCTAGAGAGGGCTACCTGGCCACTCAGACCTGCCTCCATGGAATGGTCATTACCTTTGTGGGTTCTCTGCTATGTCTAGCTGTTTCCATTAAGTAGGGTGGTCAGCACAAACATGGATCCAGATGACTGACACGGCTTATAAATGAAATCACAATTTATGATTTAATATTGGAGGGGAACTAACACCTGTGTTCTCTGGCTGGCGCACTGTCTTTCCTAGGAGACAAGTTATTTGGGGAGATAAATAATAATAAAAATGCAATTATATTATGTATTATAAATGTATTAATTTATAATAAGAAAGATAATTGCTAAGGGACTAAGCACACATATACCTGCATGAAAGCGAGAATCTTCTAGAAGAAGAATTTGAATCTGAAGAGCAACCTGATGACACAGGAGTCCTTTCTGTGACTGGTTACTCTGCTGCTATCACCAGTGTACCTGCCAGAGGGTGAGCAGGTCCTCCCTTAAACAGGACATGGGGGACCATCTTGGTATTTGCTTCTGGACTACAGTTAAGCTTTCACAACTGACCAACCTCTTTTCTTCCTCTAGGATTAGGAAGACAGTAGGTTAGAGTCAAGCCTTGTTGGTCTAGGAATAGATGCCTCTTAAGATGCCGTTGCCTCTCTGTGTGCTAGTCTAGTATAAGCTGCTTTTACTATTGAATTTTCAGAAGATTAGGGTATTCCCAGGAAGGGAAGGAGCTACCAGAATGAGAGAAGAGTACTAGTTCATATGGCAACTTGACCTTTTTAAGAAACAGAGGTTCACTTAACAGTTAAATTAATACCTATAATGTATTAAGACCCCCCCTAATTCCCACGTATGAGCTATGATCTACTGGAACATACATTTTATCCTTAACATTTCAAAATGCACTTTACCTTGACCAGAGGGAAATCCTGTTTCCTGCAACGAACAATCATTCGGGGTTCCAATAACTGGTACAAACCCTGGAAGATACAACAGATGCAATGAGTACCAAAGTAGACTACAAAATAAAGCACCAGCAAAATAAAATGTTTCTAGGTTTTTTTCATCAGATTTGGGAATCTGTGTCCCCTTGTAAGTTCCCCCACAGACAATACATATGAGAGCATGGAAAGTTTTTGATATTGGAAGTCAGATGAACATACCCAATGTTCAGGTGGTAGAAACCGAATTTACATGGCAGTCTTATCTTACATCAATAGGGTGAGGACAAATTGCAGCTGAACAGTAAACAATTAAAAATGTAAACAGTGTTTGGTCTGAAACCCAATTTAATTTTATTTTTCTGAACCCCAATATCTAAAACAAGTATATTAGCGGTGAAATCAAACTAGGCAAGTTTAAAGCTAGAGGTTGCAAGCAAATTTGACCCCTGATTTGTATAGGACTAATAAGACTACATATAAAAGAGTGGTAAGCCTGAAGGTGTGCCCACCCAGACAGTATCATAACCCCAGGCAGCACACATTTCTCTAAAAAACAAGGAAAAGAGGCGGCCTCCCTGGTGGTGCAAGGGGTTAAGACACAACCTATGAAGCAGTCCGCAGCCTCTGCAGCACGAGTTTGATTCCCGGCTGGCCAGGGAGCAACCCACATGGCACAGCAGACCTCTCCTGGCTCGCCCGCTGTTCCCCTCAGCAGTGTACTTCGGTCATTCTGCCTGTTCTGTTCCCCACTCTCTCTGGTGAATCCCCTCTCCTCCCACACCTCTGGCCTGTACCCCAGCTCTTGCATGCATAAATAAATCTTTAAAAAAAAATAAAAAACAAGGAAAAGAGCAAAAGGAAAACAGCTAAGGTGAGAAAACAGGCAAACAGAGCTACCAGTTGCTAATATAGCTTGTCAATTTTGTAAGAGCTGTAGCTGTAAGTGGCAGAACTGGCCTATAAAGGTACCTGTAGGACCAGTCCATCCAGCAGCACTTGGTACCTAGTTGTATCTTTTACCACTTTGCTGAGTCTCTGTTTTGCTTCAGTTAGTAGGTCCTACAGAGGGTGGAAAAGAAAAAAGTTACATACACAACTAGACAGTCAGTTTAGAACCCATCGTGTGGCTGGTCCTGGTCCATGCCCAATCACATCATATTCTACATGCTCTCAAGCCACAATCTCTGAGATACAGGATAGACCTAATGTTGTGTTAGTATTTTACATGTTAGTGAAAATAGACATCTTACCCCAAACAAAATACAGGCTCAAAACAATCCCTATCAACATTCCAATAGCTTTCTTCATGGAAATGGAGCAAACTCACTGAAATTTAGACCACAAAAGACTCCAAGTAGCCAAAGCAATTCTGACAAAAAAAAGAAGGGCTGTATTATGCTCCCAGACTTCAAATTATATTATAAAGTCCCAAGAATCAAAACATTATGGTATTGGAACAAAAATACATACATAGAACAATGGAATCGAATCTGGAGCTCAGAAATAAATTCATACTTACATGGACAACTAATTCACAACATAGGAACCAAAATGGAGAAAGTCTCTTCAACAAATGGTGCTGAGAAAATTGTAGACACATGCAAGAAAATTAAAGTAGCCCTCTATGTCATACCACACATGAAAACTGATTCAAAAGTGATTAAAAACTTGTATGTAAGCCCTGAAACCATAAAATACATAGAAGAAAATATAGGAGAAACACTCCACAACACTGATTTCAGTGATGTCTTGGGGACTTGACTACAACAGCAAGGAAAGCAAAAGACAAAATAACCAAACAGGACCGTGTCAAATGGAAAAGCTTCTGCAAAGCAAAATAAACTATTATTCAAATAAAAAAAGACCTCCTACCAAATGGGAGAAAATATTTGCACATCACACATGAAGAAGCTAATACCTAAAATCGACAAAGAACTCATACAACAAGAAACCCAGCTGAAAAATGGCAAAAGAGATCAATGACACTTGTCTGAAGAAGATATACAGATGGTCAACAGACACATGAAAAAATCTGCATCATTACTTGCTACCAGGGAAATATACATCACATCCATAATGACACACCACTTCACAGCTGTCAGAATGGCCCATATTAAAAAAACAAACGAATAATAAGATGTGTTGTTGAGTTATGTGGAGGAAAAGAAACCTCCTATGCTACTGGTAAGAATGTAGACTAGTCCAGTCTCCATGGAACAGTGTGGAAGTTTCTCAAAACATTAAATGTTCCAGCAAGCTCTCTCTAGGTATCAATACAAAACAGTAATTCAAAGAGATAAATGTGCTCCCATGTTCATAGCACAATAGCCAAGTTATGGAAACAACCTTAGTGCCCAATAACAGATGAGTGGATAAGATGTGGTAGATAGGCCTCCCTGGTGGCATAGGGGTTAAAGACACAGCGCTGGCAAGCTGTCACCAGCCACTGCAGCACGAGTTCGATTCCTGGCTGGCCAGGGAGCAACCCACATGGCACAGCAGACCTCTCCTGTCTTGCCCGCTGCTCCCCTCAGCAGTGTATTTCAGTGGATCCGCCTGTTGTGCTCCCATGCTCTCTGGTGAATCCTCTCACCCCCTGCACCTCTGGTCTACACCCCAGTTCTTGAATGCATAAATAAATCTTTATAAAAAATCAATGCCTTAATAAGCTGTTTAGTGAATTCTCTATAAAAAGCAAATGAATAGGGGCCTCCCTAGCGGCCTGGGGGTTAAGTTTGAGCACTATAACCTCTGCAGCCTAACCCACATATGGCACAGCAGACTTCTCCTATCTCACCCACTGCCCCCCTAAGCAGTGTGTTTTGTACATTTGTCTGTTCTGCTCCCCACTCTCTCTCTGGTGAATCCTCTCACCCACTCCCATCTCTGGCTTACACCCCAGCTCTTCTATGCATAAATAAATAAATCTAAAAAAAAAAGCAAATGAATAAACATTTTATAATTTTATAACTAGCAAGAGCTAATTACTCACTGTAATAAGGTCATCTCTTGCTCTGAGGACTTTGAGTCTTGCTTGATTCATCAAATTGGACATCTGACTACAAAAGGTATGGAAAAATAGTGTCAGCACAGCACAAAAAATAAAAATGTAGAGAAAGGACAAAAAGCTTCCTTTGCATGTACAAATACTTTTCTAATGACCAAGACCCACTGACATGCATTTAGTAGTTTATACCAACTTACTTTAAAAAATAAGGACATATTTATTGGTAGTTTCCAAGTGGCAAACTTTCCTATCAGTTATTCCAGTATAGTTTTTCAAAAATCCCCTGAAACTTCCATTTTCACAAGTGAAGAACAAGGAGTTAAGCAACTTGCCCCAGCTCGGGTAACAGACAGGTGGTCCAGTTAGGGCCAAACGACATATGCTTGACTCCAAAGCACCTGTTCTGTCCCATTTAAAGCTCCCTTAGGGGCCTCCCTGGTGGCCTAGGGGTTAAGTCTCAGCACTATCACCTCTGCGGCCTGAGTGCAAGATTCCCAGCCAGGGAGCTGTCCACGTGGCACAGCAGACCTCTCCTGTTTCCCTGCTGCTCCCCTCAGCAGTGTATTTCAGTCAGTCTGCCTGTTCTGTTACCCACTCTGTCTCTGGTGAATCCTCTCACCACGCCCCCCCCACCCCGGGCCCCCGCCTCTCTGGCCTATACCCCAGCTCTTGTAGGCATAAATAAAATAAATCTTAAAAAGAGAAAGCTTCCTTAGCCTAATCCTATGACCGAAATCTACTTGCATTTTCTTCTGCTGCTCAATCTGCTTCTCCTTCTTCTCATAGTACTCCATGATCTTCAGCCTCTGGGTCTGCACCAGGCGGCCCTTCTCAATGTTAAACTCTTCTTCCGCCTGCCGGGGAGTCGACATTAATTCATTAGACCAGACTTTTATAACCAGTTTAATTTTAAGCAGGTGATATACCTTACCCTGCATCTAAAACAGGAAATTTATTATGGCTCATATTCAAAGATTACTTCTAATTTATTCAAAAGAAAAGATCATCATAAATGACGAACCAGAAGACTGAAAAGTAATCAAGAGTAGCAGTCCTCAGTAACAAAGTCACCAGGGTATAAACTGAAGACTGCATGACAAAGAAACGATTATGCATTCTTTTTAAAATATATTTTTTAAATTTTATGCATACAAGAACTGGGGTACAGGTCAGAGGTGCAGAGAGTAAGAGAATTCACCAGAGACAGAGTGGGGAGCAGAACAGATGAACTGACTGAAATACACTGCTGAGGGAAGCAGCAGGCAAGACAGGAGAAGTCTGCTGCGCCATGTGGGTAGCTCCCTGGCCGGGGATCAAACTAAGGCTGTGGTGATAGTGTGATAGTGATGAGCCTTAACACCTACGCCACTAGGGAGGCCCCCTGATTACGCATTCTGAATTTTATCCATTTGCTTGCTAGAGGATTAATGAAAATAACAAAGAATTTGGAGTTTAGAAGCTCTGGTTTACCATATAAAAAAGTTAGGCAAGAAATCTCAGTCTTCAGTGTCCTCCCTTATAAAACAAAACAAAAAAAAATAAAAATAGTATTCTTTTCTCATAGGTTGAATAAATTATATAAATGTAAGTCATTTGTTTTATTTTCCAAATTAAGCAATTACTTTTTAAGATAAATTTTTATTGAGGTAACATTGGTTTTGGAACACTAAAGAACAGCTAAAGTTGTTGATTCAGATGTTTAATACTTGGCATAAGTACTTGGGCTTTTATATTCTAAAATAAATGCCTACCAGCTTATTCCTATAACTTACCATGGGAAGTAAGTACAGATGATGGTCTTATATGTGTTAAGACTACTTTAAATAGAATGCATTTCCCTGCTGAAATAGAATTTCTATATTTGTCTAAGAGAAATAAGGGAATTAGTCCTACAAGACACTGCTGTGCTCCAAAGGATATCAAAACAATATTAAACAATATTCTATCAACAGTTAAAATGAGTGTATATGTTAGTGGTACACAAAATAGTCTTTTCTTCCTTAAATGATAAATCAGTCAAAGAGGTCAACGCTTCTTGGAGTTTTAGTCCTAGACCACCAGGCACAAAGAATTTTAGGGCACTATTGGTACGTAACAAATGTAACAATAGAATAAATTCAAAAGACAATGAAAATAAAATATTACACCAATATATTCTGGGCATAGTTTAAAGATTTATTTATTTATTTATACAAGCACTGGGTAGAGTCAGAGGCGCGGGAGGGTGAAAGAATTCACCAGAGCCAGAGCGGAGAGTAGAGCAGGCAGTGACGAAGTACACTGCTAAGGGGAGCAGCGGGCGGCAGGAGAGGTCTGCGCGCCATGTGGGACCCTCGCCCGGCAGCCGGGATCGAACCAGCGCTGCAGAGGCTGCGGGCAGCTTCGCAACCCAGCGCTCAACCGCTGCGCCACCAGGGAGGTCCTATTCTGGGTATAGTTTAAAAGCAAGCTTTAAAATGGCTATTATGTTTATTCTTAAATAAAAGAGGAATTTCATAAACTGTAAATTAACAATGTGTAACTGGAAATAGCCATAAAATTTCTAAATGCTGAGTGTCACCTTCATAATGGACAAGGGCTTTCACTTAACATTATATACTTCCAAATTATTGTTCTTGAAGCAAGCACATGTTAATAAAAAAACAAAATAACAACAACAAAAAAAACTTCACCCTTCCCTAACTAGCTATTAAACTTAGCCATGAGTACTAAATTGAATCTTGGATCCATGCAAAATTTACTTTTCTATTCTGTACCACAAAACTTCAGAATACTTATTGGCAATTAGAACATTTAGAAAGGAAATTTTATTCTTAATGTTCAAAATAAGATATTCTCATTAATCACACACAATGCAATGTTAAATAATTTTACCAACTACATTTTATCATAGCAAGCAATATTAAATTTTGGTAACTTCTTAAACCTGGAATATAGACTCTCACCTTTGCATCTATTTCTTCTGCTTTCTCATTGGCTTCTTGTTCAATAAAAGCCATCATATGCTTAATCTACAAAAAAAGATTTTATTTTTTAACAAAATTAGAAAAAAATGTTATTTATTGGTTCTCACTCAACAATCAATCATTTATTAAAGAGTATATCATGTGCCATGTACTCTCTGGAAGGATGAGAATTTTTGTCCTGTGGTAACTTATAATCTGGAATTTGCTCTGGACCTGATGCACTATTCAGTAACGCAAGTAAATAGGACATTATGTATTTTTTTTTCTTCTGCATCTACTGCAAGAAGGAAGATCATCCTTCCCAGATACAGAGTGGAATTTTAATAAGTATAGTACTCAAAACAGACATATCTCTCTTCTACAGGTGAGTCCGATTCAAACTTGCATTATCAGCTTTAATGGTCAGGCTGGAGCCTCTGCTACCAGATTTAACTAGATCAGCACAGCCTAGAGCAAAATGCACTAATTTTAACCACGACCAGAGGAGCCTGTTTACTGTCAACATGATTATACTGTCTTTAAGAATTCCAACAGGAGAAACAGTCAACCCTTAAGGACATTTAACTCCACCCCCAAAGCAGAAAAATCTAGGCTTAAAAAAAAAAAAAACTTTTCTTCTTCCTGCTCACCCAGTAATTAAGGTTTCTGCAGTCAGATTCCTTTGAAATTTTCATGAAAGAAATGTCCATACTCTCAGACAAAAAAGCAAATATGTAAAAATATTTTCCTACAAAGGGGAATAAGTCAGGGAATCCAGGATGTATTAAACACCTATTTGGTCTATTCCATTGCTGTGGACAAAGTTAATAAAACACATTGTCCTTAGGTAGCATGGAGCAGAACAGACAACACATGAGATTTCTTCATTCTTTTAACTTTAGAGAAACAAAAAAATGAATTTGGTCTCGACTCCAAGGGAACGTACTGCTTTAACTTTGTATTTTTCCTAGAGAAACTTTAATCTACAATATATTACAACAAGGCGGGGGGGGGGCGATGAAAAACGAGGAAGAAGAGAATTAGTGCTATATGATGATGCTAGAGTATGTGGAGAGCATTGTGCTTTTCCACTGCATCAAGTGTTTCTATTAAAAAAAAAAAAATCAGCAGCAGCAGTGATAAATATCCAAAAACCCCCACTGTCCTGTAAGGACATTTTAAGATTTCTTAATTTTCTCCATAGATGCTATTTTTGTTAATCTACTTCCCTTCTGTGATTAACACAAGAACCATTAAAATGAAGAAACACTTCTCTCTTCTTAGACATTTTCAGGGAAATGGAAATATCCAAGAAAAAAATATTTTATTGCTCATCTAAGAAAATTCGTAAGCCAGTGAGTGTTCTTTAGTCAGAGAATTTTCCTAGTACTTCAAAAACAAGATTTAGTTTTCTAAAACTATGAGATTAAATAGTGTCCTTAGGTTTACGTCTCTGAAAAACCTATTTGCAATATGACTACGAAAAGCAAGGCACCTGGTTTCAGAACAGCAATTGGCAGGACAAAAGGAAACCAGTTCTCAGGTAAATAAACAGGAGTATAAATGCCACTATATTCTGAGACATTTTTGCATTATAACATTCCTAATGCCTACAAACTAGAAGGGCACATTTTGAAAAACAAAAAACACCTTAAGTTTCCCAGAACTGGATATACGCTTGCAAAGTTGATGCAAGTTCACAACCTACCTAACGTTCCCACCACCCACCCCAATCCCTGGCTTATCACCTACTTTGTACCTCACAATGTCGGGCGTTGGGGTTCATAAAACACAAGAAAATTAGGGTTCTGCATTTGACAAATATTAACGTAGACACGAGCGGGAGACCAAACTAGAGCAGGCTGCTCCAGGATGAAGATTAACAGCCACTGAATGACTTCAACACTGGAAAAGGGCTCTCCCCGCGCAGCATTCTTTCTTTTCGCGAACTGTGAACCCTTCCGCAGGTTCACAATCCAGCGAAGAGGTGGTTTTCGATCGTTGCATTTCAACTTGCATTTTCAATCCTAGTTTTCAGCTCCTGGCTCCATCAAACACAACGAACAGGCTGGGAAGCAGGAGCTGCTGAAACTGGGGCCAGAGAGCCCGGGCATTCACGGGGCGGCCCGCGAGCCAGCCGACTGCGTAAACCCCAGGCAGGAATCACATGAGCAGCGGGGTGACTCCCCGGTCAACACGTCTCCCTCCAGCCAACAGCTCCCCAGGACCCGGAGAGCTGGGGTCGGGGCGCCCCTCGGGCATCCGGGGGGCCCAAGGCCAGCGCCCTCCTAGAGCGAGGCTCCAGCCCCCTACCCCGGCCGTGCGCCGCGGATTCGCGGGACCCGAATGCCAGCTCCTCACCTGCTTTTGCACGTCAGCATCGCTGAGGGCCATGGCGCAAGAGAGGCTAGGCCGGTGGGCAGCTGGCTGGAATGCAGACCTCAAGCGGGGGACAGAGGAGCTGGGGAGGAAAAGCCAGCGTAGGGGTCGGTGTCTTTTGCTTTATAAACCTGGCTTCCGGTTCCTGCCACGTGACCGCGAAAGCCCCGCCCAGTGAGAGATCCCAGCCAGTGGGAAGAGACAAGGCCCGGAAGTCCCGCCCCCGCCCTGCCCCTGCCCCGCCCCCGCCCAGCTGGGCGCCTGCGCTGGGGCTCAACCCCTGTCATTTCTGGGGGTTGACTCGTGACCCCCGCGCCGTGCTCCTGAGCAGCCGCTGCTTTTCATAAAGAAGAGAGCAGGACTTCCAGCGTCCGAAATTAGCCGAGTTGTGTGGATTTCTCCGGCCTTACAGTCCTTGTGTTGAAAAACATAGTTTTAAGTATTTTCTACCTCAATGTGTCACTGTATTTTGCTGACCTTACTCATCACTAATGTTTTACTAATATACTTTTAGAACAATTTTAAATTTACGGAAAAATTAAAGAGCGTAGAGTCCCCCTATAGCTTTCTTGCCCCCACGCACAGTTTACCCTTTATTTAACATCTTACATTAATAAAGCAGTGTTGCAGAAATAAATTCTAGCCTTTTACCCAGGCAAGAGAAGAACCAGCGGTACTTCACGAACCGTGAGGTCAGGAGGAGCTTCATTACTCATGCATGAGGTCCCAGACCTGGGCAGTCCGGTAAGGTCTGCGCTCTTGTCTAGAGACAAAGGGTTTCTTTTATACACAACTATCTTACATTGATAACATGGGTTAGCAAGCACAATTATTTGCTGTAAAACTCCTAGACAAAGGGGGAAAGATGGACATTTGGGGATGTCCTTTGAGAGATAAATCAGCTTGACGGGCTCTCCAACCCTGTTAAAATGTAACCTCGTTTAGATAAGCTAAAAATTAGATGGAAAGCTCTCTAAGGAAAGGTTTAGCAAGTAAGCAAACTGGTTATTTACAATTGCATTGGATTATTTACTGCACCAGGCCTAAGACCCTTTAGCAGGAAAGATTTATTGGCTTAGGACTTCCTTTACAGCACATCCATTACAATTAACCAATGTTGGTGTATTAACTAAAGTCTATAATTTATTTGGATTTACTTAGTTTTAACCTAATATCCTTTTTCTGTTCCAGGATATTACCAGTATACATGACATTTAATTGTCATGTCTTTAACTTTCCTTTTGGCTGTGACAATTTTTTCAAACTAGTTGGAAGACCCAGAACTCAGGCCACCAGGCACCATCTATTGCCAATAGAGAGAGGAATTGAATCTTTAAGGTGAGCTTTAATCAGACAGCCTAAAATTGGGGGGAGGGGAAATGGAGAGGTTAACATCCTAAAGAAATTATATTCATAGTTCATTTCTAGGTCACTTTTTTAAAAAGATTTATTTATTTATGTACACAAGAGCTGGGGTACAGGCCAGAGATGCGGGAGTGGGTGGGGGTTTGAGAGGATTCACCAGAGACAGAGTGAGAAGCAGAACACTCTGAGGGGAGCAGCGGGAGAGACAGGAGAGGTCTGCTGTGCCATGTGGGTTAGCTCCCTGGCCGGGGATTGAACTCATGTTGCAGTGGCTAGCAATAGCTTGATAGCCATGTGTCTTTAACACCTGCACCACCAGGGAGGCTCCTCTATCAAAATTTTCTAATTAATCATGGATTGTGGGGCTTGGGGAGAAAGATTACAGAGGCAAAGTGCTATTTTCATGACATCATTTTAAGGCTATATACTGTGAATATGATTTTTGACTCTTGATGTTGAACTTGATCACCTGGCTGAAGAAGTGTTTGGAAGGTTTCTCTTCTGTAAAGTTCCTTCCCCTTTTACCTTTGGAAGGCAGTACTACGTGCATTCCACACTTAAGAAGTGAGAAGTTATACTCCACCTCCCTTTAGAGGGCAGTATCTACATATTTGGAATTCTTCAAATGAGCCCATGCATTTCCCAATATTATTCCCAAAACCTGCACAGAGGAAATTATTTAGAAAATTAGGGCAGTAATTTCCTCAGAGTTGTTTATTCCAAGTTCCATTTCCCTGTCTCCTCAACTAGAAAGGCAAAAAACTTTTGAAAATGTAATTTTTATGAGATTTCTAGCAGAATTATGGATCAAAAGGAACATGCATTTTTATTAGTAGCTTTATATTTATTTTTATTATGAATCTCTTATACAGTTTAATCATGGATTAAATGATTATTCAGTACATGTATGAAAACTGAAGGATGTGGTTTAGATTCATGTGCAGCACTTTTTCAAGTTACCCATTTTTTCTCTTCCGAGTGGCTCTTGAGCATCAATGAATGTTTGGTGGTTGCTTCTACCAAGTGTTTTGCTTCATTTGTTTTGGTTGCTATGTAAGGAGATCCACCTATATCTGGGTTATTCAAAATCATGATTCTCCTCTGACCTATCCTGATCTTGGCCTTGCCAGCACATGGGCTTACCCCCCAAAAAAGACTAGCTTCTCACCTACTCATTTTCTGTTCAGATTCCTTTATAGTAGGATGAAAGGCTAAGAGTGAAATCTTTGCAGTTTCTGTGATTTTTTTCTAGAGGTTTCCGAATCTGAAATGCATAGCAAAACTGTAAATGCGAGCACAATCCTACAGGTATCAAACTTCTTGCCAGATCAGGGTCAATGTCTGTATCAGGCCATTTGGTCAAGGGCAGCCGGAACTGGGCACAGCTCAGGCCCATTGTGGTGGGAACCATGCCACCATGGGTTGCCCTGGCAATGCCCACTAGCTTTCTATTTTGAGGAAATTTCCAATATATTAAGTTGTAAGAATAGCAGTGAACTCCCTTGATATAAATTCATCAATTGTGGGCCTCCCTGGTGGTGCAGGGGTTAAAGTCTCAGCACTATCAAGCTACTGGCAGCCACTGCAGCATGAGTTTGATCCCTGGCCAGGGAGCTAACCCACATTGTACAGCAGACCTCTCCTGTCTCGCTTGCTGCTCCCCTCAGCAGTGTACTTCAGTGGATCTGCCTGTTCTGCTCCCCACTGTCCCTCTGGTGAATCTTCTTACACACACCCTGGCCCCGGCACCTCTGGCCTACGCCCAGTTCTTGTATGCATAAATACATGCTGCAGTGGCTGTGGGCAGCTTCATAGGTTGTGTCTTAACCCCTTGCCACCAGGAAGGCGCCAAGTGTGTTATACTCTTGACATATGGCTTACATTTGTGATACTGTAATATCCTTTTGTGCAGCCTCCCCCTTTCCCACGTTATTGCTCTTTGCAACTAGTTTCTGTAGTATTTTGCTGAATCATCAAAGAACAGGACAGGTCCTGTCTGATAAGAACATGATAAGCTTCACAGAGACAGTCCCTTGATTGAAAAAGTTGAGTACAAGCAAAGATTAACCATTTGGTAGCTTCCCAAATTCAATTTCCTCTTTTTTTTTTTTTTTTTTAAAGATTTATTCATTTATTTATACAAACACTGGGTATAGTCAGAAGCGCTGGAGGGTGAGAGAATTCACCAGAGACAGAGCGGGGAGCAGAGCAGGCAGAAGGACCGAAGTACACTGCTGAGGGGAGCAGCGGGCGGCAGGAGAGGTCTGCGCGCCATGCGGGACCCTCCTCCGGTGGCCGGGGAGCAGCCGGGGATCGAACGGGCGCTGCAGAGGCTGAGGGCACCTTCGCCACCCAGCGCTCAACCGCTGCGCCACCGGAGAGACCCAATTTCCTCTTATACTAGCTCAGGTCTTGTGAAGAAGTGTTAGAGTTTCTCAGATAAATTCCCAAAATCTCGGTCCTAGATAAGCCAATTTACTTGTGGCTTCCCCAGAATCACTGCCGTAGATCCCTGTCAGGTTAATCCTAAAGAATTGGTTTGTGTGGTCATCATCTCACCGGCTCACAGGCTGGGACTTCAGTCTGTGGTTTAATTAGAAATTGAGTCAGCCAAATGATAGGCTAACTCTTGAATTTATTTGCTGGGGAGGAACTAAGGGAGAGACTGGTGGTAAATGCAAATAATCTCTTTGAAGAATCAATTTAAAAAAGAAGGTAAAAAAATGGTAGCAGAAAATAGTGAAACTCTAACTTAGGTGCCTGTACATTTTACCCCTTTGCAGCCAATTCACACAGAAGATTTAAAACCTAGTCATCTAGTCACTCCCCAATTAAAATCCTCTAGTGGTGTCTATGTATTTACAGACACCTTAGATGTCCTCTGTGAGACAGCCTGAGCTCATCACCCTTTTCTTTGCTCACCAGCTCAAACCTTACTGGTTTCCTTTCAATTCCTGAAAAATGTCAAGCTTTTTGCCTGGGATGGCCTTTTCCTTTACTTACCCCTTAGCTTATTTTTTACTCTCATTTCCAGGTAATCCCCTTACCTCTCGCTACAGTGTGCTGATATCTATCACCAATTGTTATTTTTGCCTGCTCCTGAAATATAAACAGATTCACACATTATGTTTTTGTGTCTGGCTTCGTTCACTTACTTTTTTTTTTTTTTGAAATTGATCTATATTGTCAGATATATCAATGCTTCATTTTTGTTTATGGCTTAGTAATATTCATTATGTGAAGATATTTCAAAAAGTCAGTGTTAAAAATAAGACCGGGAGACTAAACACACACACACACACACACACACACACACACAAAATGCATGATCTTAGTTTTAAAAAAAATTATAAAACCCATTACTAGGACAATTAGGGAAATTTGAAAATGAACAGGAATCTTGTTTTCTTAGCTCACCAAGTCTTCCTTGGCAAATCTCTAATTACTAAAGAATGGCACTGCATTTTCTCATTCACTTAGGCTGAAAGCTGCCTATAACACAGCTCCAAGCTTCTTTTTGATTTCACCACCCACCCTCTCATCAGTTCAGGTTTTTATCACTTCTTCCACAGCCTTCAGATATAACTGAAAAAAATCCCCCTACTTAAATTTTACTATTGAACAGTGTTAAGGATAGTCACAGAGTTGTGCAACCATCACCACAATCAATTTGAGAGTATTCTTATCGCCCCAAGAGGAATCCTGTGCCAGTAAGTGGCCACCCTTCATTAGGCTTCTGGGATTCGGTTCTGATTCCTCATATAACAGAATTGTAACTTCTCGTCCTCAATAGTCTCCTTGCAACTCATGTACAACCTGGTGAACTTGATTTCATTAGAACGTGGCTTAGATAGGATACTCTACCCGACCAGGGGGCTTCAGGGACTCCCCCAAAGGACACTGAGATCCAAGAAAGCAAACCCCTATTAACACACATTCTACCCCAGGCGCCGAGCTAGGAGCTGCAAGCAACATGCTCCGCCCCTGTAGATTTCCCTTAGGGGCATCGCGCCTCCGCTCAGGCAGGGCCTCCGCCTAGGTGACCCTCCACGTCCAGTGCAACCCTATCCCGGAGAAAAATTTCCTATTTTTCCAGCAGGTGACTCCGTGGGTCTCTTGACACTTGTCGCCTGCTGGCACACACCTGAAGCTCCACACTCAGTACACCCGCGGCTCACGTTCTGTGAACGCAGCCATTTCCTGGCCCGGGGGCTGGCCGGCCTCTCGCCCCACACAACCGCCCCCTCCGGCCTTCAGCGGCCTCCGCCGACCCGGGCACCACAGCCCCGCGCGGCCCCCGGGACGAGCGGGCTCAGCGCGGCCGCCTTCCGGGTCACATCCGCGCTGGGCCCTCTCGGCTCCGCGGTCCGTGCTTCCGCCCGGAAGCACAGAGTCGCCCCCTTCCGGCGCGCTCCCGGCCCGCCCCGACGCCGGCGCTGACGGAAGCACGCCGGGGGTGACCTCACCCTCCAACATGGCGGCGGCGGTAGATTAGGGCCGCGGGTCGGAGCAGCCACCGCCGCTGGGGGACCCTGTCGGAAACACCTGCCGCCGCCGCCGCCTCTGTCATCTCTTCTGGGGCTGGGGCCAGGGCCAGGTGAGGGGAGCGGGTGTCCGGGCAGGAGGCGCTGGGTCCTCACCGGGCTCCTCAGGCGCCTTTCACAGGCTAGGAAGGTGCCCAGAGACGGTGCCGAGCCGCCGGCCCCCCAGTGGTTCCGACGACGCGTGAGTGAGTGTCAGAGCGTGTGACAGTGACTGAGAGAGGGCGAGTGGGCGATGCTTCGGCCGAAGGTTCTCGAAGCTAAAGGGTCCCTTTCAGGAGAACCTGACGTGTCCAGCGGGGGACCCAGCGTGAACGCTTGTTGAGCGGGGCTTTCCGAGGGGCGCTCAGAGATGGGGGGCTCGGCCTCGCTCTGCAGCGCCCGAACCCACAGAGACTTTGACATGGGAAGCCCAGCCCCGTTTTTTTAGGACCAAGCTGAGAACGTGGAGTTCTTGACCCAAGAGAAGGTTTTCCTGCGATTCGTGTAGAACGAGCCCAGATGAGTGCTGTCAGCCCTCCTGGTCTTTCCTTCTTACAGATTGTTAGAATGCTTACCCTTTAGACACTGCTGTTTTGACACCCATTCCCCCCCCCCAAAAAAAAAAATCTCTTATCTTTGGGGGCAATACAATTTACAGTTAGTTCTTCCTTCCTTTGATGTTTATCCTCTCATTATGCCAAGGAGATCCCACGTTGCTTTCCTTCAGAACAGACTGTGAAGGAAAACTAGACTTTTTGAGATAAAGCTGTAACCTAGGTTGAAAATGAGGCGATCTGGTCAGTTGTGCGCAGGCTTCTGACACTTTCTCTCTTAACCACTTCTGGCAATAGTGTTTGTTTATCCAAAATAGCTATCTCACGGTCTCTATTTATAAAGTTTAAAACTAAGCTGACAGCCCCTCTCCCCTCCCCCACCTCGTTTTTTTGGTTTTGTTTTGGTTTTTTGCTTTGCAAAGCAGTCTTTTTTGCGAAACTGTCAGTAAGATTTCCCCTGGAGATTTGGCAAAAACCAGAATGTTGATCTCTGCCCTGACTTGTGTGACCTTGGATGAGTTGCCACACCCTTCTAGTTGTTTTTTTTTTTTTTTTTCCACTCTCCCAGAAAATTAAGCAAATGTTTGTGTAGGTAGCGAACTGTTTCTACACATTGGATAAATGTGCATTACACTTGTGCACCCGCAAATTGAAAATATTTAAACCATTATGTAGTCTTCATTGACAACAGACTGGTAAGGGTCTTGAAAATCCTTTTATGCTTATTGGTCAGTTGCTATTCTCGGTGTTTTATTCACTGAGAATAAATTTATTGACAAATGTTCTTAAGGTGGACTATACCCCAATAGTTGAATTCAGTTGTAAGGTTGATTCCAATCCATTTTGTAAAGAAAAGATATGCTCATTAGCACATTGCTCAATATTTACTAAATAGCTTCTATACTAAATTGTTAGGACAAGTGATTTGCAACTGTTTTAAAAATATATTTCTCTTATGAACAATTTTAGACATACACATTTTAAACAACTGTGCCATCTTGCTTTTTATGGTTGTTTTTCAAACATTTTGATTTGTATCTTATTCCAAATAAATGGTCACCAAAAGTTCTTAATACTGGAAGGGATATTTTCAGAATAACTTTTTTAGTGAAATATAATTAACATCATACAACTCACCAGTTTAATAGTTTAATAGTTTTTAGGATGTTCATGGTGTGTACAACCATTACCACAATTTTCATCGTCCCAAAATGAAACCCTGTACCCATTAACAGTCATTCTTGATTCCTTCTTTTCCCTACCTCTCCTTTATCGGCAACCACTGATTTACTGTTGTTTCTAGTTACACTTCTGGACATTTAATATAAATGAAATTATACACTATGAAGTCTTTTGTGATTGGTTTCTCTTAGCATAATATTTTTAGGTTTCATGTCGTAGCGTGGACCAGTACTTCACTCCTTTTTTATAGTCACATAACATTCCATTGTATGGCTACACCACATTTTCCTTCTTCATCAGTTGATGGGCAGTTATTTCCACTATTTGACTGTTAGATATAATGCTGCTGTAGCTTTTCACATGCAAGTTTTTCCGTAGCTGTGTTCTCATTTCTGGCATATACCTAGGAAGTAGAGGAGAGTAACTGAATTTTATGTTTCCCCTTTTACAAGCTATCTACATGTATATGGGAACCTAATTAACATATTTGAAAGTCAGACTGTGTGGGGAGAGAATGAGGCAGTCCTCTGTAAGTACATTATCTGCTAATGTCAGCTGCTAAGTGAAAACATTTTTGGGCAGCTCAATGCAAGATAAAACTAGAGTGTTTAGGTTAAGCATGTTTCAATAGAAAAGGGATAGTGTATTCTAGAATTCTTCCTGTCTGCTGAGTTAAAAATGACACCTTGCTCAGTTGCATTTCTCACCTGGATGGGATGAATTTTTGCAACTTTCCAATTTTTATTAGGATATTTAATTTTACTTTTAGAGAAAGTCCTAGAATTCTCTACGATCTAATAAAGCATGGGTTATAATATAGTTATTCAACTTCATGTTAAATTGTGGAACTTCAAAAAAATTCCCTGCTCAACCCATGGGTTGAGTGTTGAGACTAGAGAGCTGGTAACCAGAAATCTTTGTTGATATTTAAAATTCTAGAGTTTTGGTTGTGATTGAATTATTTGCAGATTTTAACAGTTTAAAAACGAATTCTAAATCTGTTCAAGTCTCTTGCTGGAGTATTCAGTCAATTTTATTATATTACAATTTTTATTTATGGAAGGACGTGGCCTAAAAACAAGAGTTTCCTGAAATATTTTAACTAAAATATCAAATTATAATGGTTTGTTTCTTGGTTTTATGGAGTTAAGGAGTATAACATAGGTATGATATTCTAAGTTAATATGTCTGAGGTGGGTGGTAGAAATTTCTATTTTTAACAAGTATTCAAGATGACTAGTCAGACAAGTTTGTGAAACAGGTACAAAAAATTCCTGTTGCTGCAGATTTCCTTTCCATTCACAGGAATTTAATAATTGCTGCATACCTTCAGGTTATAGTTCATAAAATGTACTTAATTTCTGCTGTATAATCAGTGCTAGAGTACCAGCATTTGTACTGGTACTCATCATACAAATCTGTTGTTTTTTTTTTTTTAAGCAAACATTTAAAATGGAAACTTGCACATTTTAAAAATGCACTGTGTTGGTGAGGCAGAATTGGAGGGGACCTCAGCATTGTCCCCTGATTCCAGAAAAGCCCTAGGTGGTGGCCTCCAATCATATTTACTTTTTGGGGTTTTTGGTTTGTTTTTCTATATTTATTTAAATATATATAGTTTTTTACATAGTTTTTCATTTTCGCATAGTATTTGATATCTCCTCTCAGGTGTAATCCCCATAAAATTCCCTCCACCAAGTTACCTGTGAACTGTCATCACAATCCCTTGTGCTGTTTTGATCCCGCTCTCTTCCCTTCCCCTCCTGAACGTCGATCATACTTACTTTTTGTCCTTCTGACCTTTTCCTCCCCTCCCTTCTCAAATTTGCTTCTTATAATACTCTTGATTTTCTGATACTTGAAAACCCATTCCTTCCCCCCTACATGTCTCCCTGCTGTTATTGGTGTTACTGTTTTTTACCTCTGCTTTCCTTCCCTCCCCCCCGGCACGTTACCTGGTATGCAGTAAATATGTGTTCAGTGAATGCAGTTAAGGGCTAAGAGTTCAGAACAGAAGAGGGTGTACTCACCCAAATGGTTGAGTTATTACTTAGCTGTATGATTTTGAGCAAATAAATTGTCTATTCTTGTTTCTCCATCAATAAAATTGAGATTACTACAACTTTTCCTTCTAGCATAGAGGATTGCTGTGACAATGTATGGAAAAGTGCTTCATAGATGGAACTCTCACACAGATACAATTTATTTATGGTATGTGTTAGAAATGCAAGCTCGGGCTGCTGTTTAAGACACTGCAGAATGTTGCAAAGGCAGTGAGTGCCCTCTCATCCCAGAATACCTTAGAATACATGGTAGTGCTCTGCACCTTCTCTTTACCATATTCCCAATGCTTAATTCTGGGATTTATGCGAATGAACTCTATCTATAATAGTGTTCCTGGAGTCTGTCTAGCTAACCACCTAAACACAGGCTTGCATGAGCTGCTTTGTTGCTGTGTAGCCAGTAGCACAAGCTAAATTAAAAGTTGGTTATTTTATATTGTAAGTGCGGTATGTGTAGATCTGGTATGTTTATAACTAGAATGCTCAATGCACATTTAAAGCCTAAAAACTATAAAGTTTGTATTATCTCCGATCACGTGAATCATTGAAAATGATTGAATGTAGTATTCAACCAGGATAGTCACCAAATATAGGGATATTAACAGCTGAGGGCTAACTGCAAATAGAATGGTGAGTGTGCAAGTTGGAAGATTATTAAATCCTTGCATTTATAGTTAGACAATTGAGATTTGTAAGAAAATTTGAAGACACTCAAAAAAAATTTGAATGCCCAGTGCCTTTTGGTATATGAATTTTTGATGAATACAAGAAATTTGAATGTCACAAAATTTGAGAACATCAAATTTTTATTTAAAGAATTATCAAAACACCAGACAGATTCTGAGACTTTAAAGATTAGGTTTCGTCACTGGTTTGCTGTATTCTCCCCCTTTCTTTTGGAACTTTACTTCATTTATTCCTTGCCCTCTATATTTATTTCTCTTTATTGGCTCTTCCTTCACTGAATGTAAACATGCTCAAGGACTCTTTCATTGTGTTTAAATATAAAACGGGTGCGCTCACAAACCTTTTTTGTCTCTCATTCTAGCCTCCATCTTTTCTTCTCTACAAGCCGTATTTTCTTTTACTCCACCCTTTCATTCCTCAACTTCCTGCCATCCGCCATGGCCCTGCCAGTCAAATAGAACTGTCCTGTCAGACATAAGACAGAACTTCAATGCCCAGATCCAGCTGACTCCTCGTTTGCATTCTTCTAGATGTGCTGTTAAATTGACTCTTTTATTCACTCTCCATATAGACTTGCCTCCCCTGACTTCTGTGAACACGCCCTTACCTGGTGTCCTGCATTCCTTTCTGATTGTTCCAATCCAGACCAAGAGGTTTTCTCTGCTGGCTTCTCATCTCTTGACCACCCCTAAAAATGTTTTTTTCCCCTGGTGTTTCTTTTTATTAACAAGTACTTCTGGGCATATTTTAAATATTTCTCTTTTAGAGAGAGATTGAAAATTTCTCTGGCTCCTATCCTGGTGGTGACGCTTGGGGTGGGTTGAGGAAACATTATTTTTCCGTTCCATCCCCACACTGGGTCACTGATAACAGAATATTTAAGATTTACCCTGCTTTATTTTCTGTACTTTGTATTCTGAAAATAGTGGGTAACCACTCCTTTTGCATGTATGAAACAATATATTGAATATGGTTTTCAAGCTAAATTAATCCAAAATTTTGACACTGCATGCCCACTAGAGATCACCACTGGTCTTGGATTCTTTAGATAATTTTATTGACTCGCATTTTGCGGTATACAGTTCAGTATCTCTAGACCTCTTTCTGAGTTTAAGACCTATATGTCTAACTCCTTCTGTATACCCAGGTGGGCTTCCCAAAAGGTCATTTGAAGTCAGGATGTCTCCAAGGGAACTTGTTATCCCTCTTCCCCAAAGCATCTCTTCCTATAGTAGCCTAATTTGAGAAATATTAATAACAACCCTTTTCCATACAATGCCCTGATTACTCTGGTTGGGTCAGCTTACACATCTTTGAACTCTTAAGATTTTTCTTATCTGTCCCCTTCTCCTTTTTGGTGTTCCCGCCCTAATTTATGCCTTCATATTTTTATGGTTTAGGTGTTTCCAGTATTCCTCTAACCCTGTGTCCGGTGTCCAATCTCTACCATCCACACCACCTCCAGGATCGTTTTTCAGAATGCCGTCTGTTAATGAGCTTCTCTTGTTTGAGATCCTTTACGTCTCCTAGTGGTGTTCTAAAGTAGTTTTTAGCTGCTTTGCATCATGATCTAACTTAAGAATCTAATGAGAGAAATGAAATGATTTTTCTCTCCAGAAAAAATGTTTGTACACACGTCATTTGCATACAGTTTTAGGAGGTTCACTCATGGATGTGGCTGATATAATTCCTGGCTTATAGAAAAAAATTCAAGCTTCCTAGCAGCCTGTAGTGCACAAGGCACATCAAATGTATACTGCTGCTTACTCCGGCTGAGCCCCCTCCCCTGTATATCTTATGATTAGGCCATATCAGATTCCTTAGCTTTTGTGTTTTTTCATGCCGTTTCAAAACACATCTGTGCCTTTTCCTAGACTTATTTGCATCCCAAATTGTCCCTACCCTTGGCTGGTTCAGTGAATACCTACCTGCTCTTGTTCCAAAACTGGCTCAGATTTTTACTTTATGAAGTCTTTGCTGATTTCTACTTCCCTTTTCCCTTCCCTGGCGAGACTTGCCTGCTTCCTCTTTTGCGTTGCCTTCCCCCACTCTATGGATTCTGACTTGTATTGGAGAACTTGGTTGTTCTTATTTGTTTATATATTTTTTTTTTCCTCTGCTGTCTTTGTGCCTAGTGCCTCTGGAGTATACTTTTTCTCCTAAGAAATGTGTGTTGAATGAACACATGAAGTTATCAGAAGACATTGTCTTCTATTTCAGTGTAATAACTAGGTCTACACATGAACTTTGCAGAATTAGATTTTTTCTAAACTAAGTCCAGTGTAATAAAATTCACATGAAAATAGTGTGTTACAATTGTTGAAGAACTTCCTTAGAAATTTAAAGAAAATTAGATTCCAGTCTTGGCCCTTGTTCCAGTTAGGTCACATTGCAAACAACACAAAGTAATTCTAGCTTAAGCTGAAAAGGAACTTATGGGAAAGGCATTGGATAGCCCACAGAATAGCTGGAAAATTAGGTTAGGAAACAGGCAGGGTCCAAGGGAGACCTGACCGCAGCCTCATCCAGCGTCCGACCATAAGAATGGGACCATCTAGGATAGTGCTGCAGGAGCCACATCGCTGCCTCTGCTGAACTGATACCACCATCTTCTCCATGAATTATCTTTAAATGTCTTTCCGGTTCTAGTTCCTAGGTGGGAGCCTCTGACTTGGCCAAGCCAAGGTCCTACATCTATTTCTTAGGTACCAGGGAATTGGATAACAGGAGAGAAAATGTCTAACCTCTCTAAGCTTTTCCCTTGGGGGCTGGTGGATTTCTCTTTTTCTTTGTTTATTTTACCAATATTGACACAGTGTGGGATTCTCTGTAGAAAGGAAATTGGGTTTGGATGGCAGGCAAGCAAAATAAAAAGGCAGATTTTGTTATACCACTGCTTCTAGGTAATATCTGACCTGAGAAATAATATTAGAAATATGATCTGATATTAGAAATAATAGACCTCGGAATTCTTATTTTACCTCTGTGGGTTTCCCTTTCCTTATTTGTAAATTTAAAATACTGTTGTCTAACTATTAAGTGGCAATAATGTAAAAGTATATCAAATATTTTGAGTTTTTCAAGAGTAAAACACCTGGTAAGACTACAATGGTGTAACTTTCATTCCTGTGAGATAAGCTGTAACACTTTTTTCTTTTAATTGGAGGATAGTTTTGAAATACTTTTTTGAAGTTTATGTATGGGAACTTCTATTAAAGTTGAACAAGGTAGTCCAAAACCTATTGTTTGATTTATTGGATATTGTAATACAATTTGGTAACATTGCCCCTGAAGATAGAAACAGCAGAGACTTTTCACAGTTGATTTGTTTCGACAACCTAAGTAAATACTGCTATTAATAGCAACCATAAATACACTTTTAAAAAAGCATAGAACCATTCAAAGCAGGTTTTCATCTTTTTCTTTTAATCTTTATAGCGCCACTCTTATTTTGTGTATTTCAAATTCTGCAAGTGTTTTTTTTCCCCATTGTTAATCTTTCTAGGACATTATTCTTAGTTTGCTTATTATAGATCTTTTTTTCCTCTCAATTATCTGAACTACCTTTTACTGGCTATTTCTTGAGGTCTTAAAGAACTCCATATTGTTGTTTTCAATAGAAAAGAGTTATTTGCTAATTTCATAGTAAGATGTTTTATCTTATTTACCATTTGAAGCAACTGGTAAGATACATGGTAGGTAAAATAACTACTAAATTCCAGTCCAAAAAGTGGGAGTTGTATTGACTAGGGTGCATATTAGGATACCTAGTGAGATTCATACTAAAGTGGCTAAAATAACAGAGCAGAGGTGAGTGATCCAGGCTGGCAGGACAACTCTGTTCCACGTAATTATTTAAGGACCCAGGTTTCTTTGCTGCCCCCAGTAGTGGTGTACTTGTTTGCAGGTCAAAGCCTTCCATACTCATATTCTTAACCACAGAAAAGAGGAAAGAGGAAATTTATAAGAGACCCACAAATTGCACTTATAACTTCCCTTCATATTCCTCTCAGACTAATCATATGGTATGTTGAGCTGCGAAGGAGACTAGGAATGTGGTCTGCAGCTCTGGTCATGGACTGAGTTAATTAGATTTTATTAGGAAAAAAAAAATGAGAACATATACTGGTTTGGGAGTGGGGGCATAGCTAGTGTTTTTGCCATGTAGGTGAAAATAGAGAAACTAGGGAGTGATATAAAGGAAAATTTACTTTTGATCTGAAATCTAAATAAATTCCTTATAAGTAAATTGAAGTCACATTTTTAGATTTCAAATATTTATTTTGGCATTATTTGAATAATCGGAGTCAATGGGAATATGTACTGGCATGTAGTAAACTTTAAACTGAAAAAATACTTTTATGTTTTTAGGTTTTACACATCTGTAAATAGACTTTTTTGGAGCCCTGCCAGCCAACTCAATGGCGTCCTCTACTACTGTGCCTCTAGGATTTCACTATGAAACAAAGTATGTTGTTCTCAGCTACTTGGGACTCCTCTCTCAGGAGAAGCTGCAAGAGCAACACCCTTCCTCACCCCAAGGTATTATATTTGGCTTATACTGGTTTTATTAAGCAGTAACAATTACTTCATACATAAAAATACTTGTATCTAACTATTGAATATCTATGGTCACTAGATTAAATATTTGTAATATACTTTTAAAGAATAACCTCTTACCTAATCCCTTCCTGCCCCTTGACCTATTCCCAGAAGCAACTACTTTTCATGCTTTTTAAGAGCTTGATAATTTAAATAAATGCCATTGGTAAATGAATGTCATGAAAAAGTAAATGCCATACAGGTAAAAATGTACTAAATACATATAAACAGAAATCTACTTGTTTTAAAGAGATTTCATACTTACCAAGAGATACACTAGAATTGCATAATTATTTTAAAATGTATAATACAATTAGATTCTTTGAATTGCCTTTGTTCAAGGATATTAGATTTAAACAATGGATTAGCATAACTGATAGTTTTTAGCACAATTCTTTGTTTTGTGAAATTGTATATACTCTTCTTTAAGTAGTTTGTCAAAACAAGCTTAAAGTAGTTACTGGAGTCTTCATTAAGTTGTGACTTCATCATCTTAAATATTCTCATCATAGATTTCCACCTCAGCCATAGAGGTAGTTCTTATCTGCTGCTATTCTAGTTCCAGAAGAGATAGTGTTGTGAATTTGGAAATGATGGAATCATTAGCAGTTATGTTAGGAGGCAATGACAGAAGGTATCCTAACAATGCTCATTTAAATACTTATACAAATACTGGCATATTAGTGGGTGTGTTTAATTTTAAGATATACATCATTTTAAGTACCCCAATGTAGGTTGCCATTTAAACAGATTACATCAAAATGACTTTAAAAACTTAAGTCATTTGTGTTACCAAATATTTAATTATCTCACTTAATCTTACCAAACTCACGTAGCAACTCTTACTATTGTCTTTTAATATTTATCATTTATACACAATTTTGCATAGTTGTAATCAATTATTTGTGGATTTTTTTACTCATTTTTTTTTGAACCTTTTTACATATTTCTGTACTGTCTGTGCTTTCCTCCATTATTGTATTACTTACCTTTGTAAATGTCTTTTAATTTCTTTTATTAGTAGTACTGCTATATAATTTTTAGTTTACCATAAAAGGCTTTCACCTAAGCCACTAACACCAGTGGCAGGGCTTTAATTGAAAAGTTAAGACAGAATCATAATCAAAGGTTATTGTAAGAAATTTTAATTTAAAATGTTATTAATACACATTTAGCAATTTTGATACAGGGTCACGGCTTTTTTTCTTTTAAAGATGGATCTGGTGACTGGAATTCCATGTCATCTTTCTAGCATAAATCACATCTATTACCTATCGTTTTCAATATATGTTTACTTAAGATTGAGTAGGAACATCAAAATGCTTGTAAAATAGTGATTAAAGAGTAGTTGCAGATTTTTATGATTTCCCCCAATCTCCTACAGCTGTTCTCTCACCCATTTTGATAAAATCTTTTTTTTTTTTTTTTTAGTAAGGTAGCTTTAAAGCAGCTTCTCAAAGCATTTAATCCAGCTCTCATAGAAGTATCACATCTAAAAAAATAAAGAAGTATCAAGTCTCCTTGCATAATAATATTTCAATGATGCCTATAATTTTAAATTATGTAATTTCAATGACAAAGACACCTTTCATAAAACGACTGGGAGATTGGGAGAAAAATAACTGTGTCTTGATAAGCACAAAAACTGGTGCAAGTACACTGTAAAGAAGTCCGTTAGCTGCATGTGTGCAGCTTCCTGTGAGTGCACTTGGCATGTTCCAGATGCAGGCTGCCAGAGGCCACTTCATTCAACACATCATTTCAGGGGAGGTTGGTTAAGGGTGTTTCTACTGGGCCTTCCTGGTGGCACAAAGGTTAAAGTCTCAGCGCTATCAAGGTATCGCCAGTCACTGCAGCATGAGTTTGATACCCGACCAGGGAGCTGAGCTACATGGCGCAGCAGACCCCTCCTGTCTCGCCCACTCCTCCCCTCAGCAGTGTATTTCAGTAGATCCTCCTGTTCTGCTCTGTCTCTGGTGATTGCTCTCACTGCCATCCCCCAGCACCTCTGGCCTGTACCCCAGCTCTTACATGCATAAATAAATAAAATAAATTTTTTAAAAAAAGTGTTTCTACCATACATTGCCTTTTTTTAGTTTTTTACTAAATCATCTAGAATCATACAATGGAATCAAAAAGAGCAATTTTTTTTTTTAAAGATTTATTTATTTATTTTTTTATTTATACAAGCACTGGGTATAGTCAGAAGCGCGGGAGGGTAAGAGAATTCACCAGAGCCAGAGCGGGGAGCAGAACAGGCAGACTGATGAAATACACTGCTGAGGGGAGCAGCGGGCAGCAGGAGAGGTCTGCGCGCCATGTGGGACCCTCCTCTGGGGGCCAGGGAGCAGCTGGGGATCGAACCGGCGCTGCAGAGGCCGTGGGCAGATTCGCAACCCAGCGCTCAACCTCTGCGCCACCGGGGAGGCCCAAGAGCAATAATATTTTTATGAGAAACTTGTAATTTAAAATAAATGTGACCTATAGATTGTCATACCATCTATTATGTATTTTTAAGTTTTCATATATTGTCTTAAAATTAGCTATAACATCTGATATCCTGGATTCCAGGTATTTATCCTCAGCATCTACCATATTAGACTTACAGGGAGTCCACTTGTTATAGGGCAAGTTGAAGGGCACCCTGGGACACCCCTTACTTTAATTGCCTTCATGACTAACTATAGAAATGACTAAATGTTAGAAGACAGTTAGGCCTCTGGTTTGTCATACTCACCAAGGACATACAGGGATGCTTGGGGTTCATAGCAAGCTAGTGTTCTCAACAATCCAGCCCTCAAGACTAGATGCAGTACGGTTCATATAGTTTATCTCATGTGGCACTCAATAAGGTTATTACCAGCAGAATCACAATTAGCAGGATGAGGCCATTCTGCGTGTGAATCTCAGCCATCCACCTCAGGGCCCCAGATTCAGTCAAGTGAGTAAATCCCAGATGGAGGACAAGTAGGTATTTTTTCAGACAGCGACTTAGTTTCCTTTCTTTAGCATGTATAGGTTATTCTACATAACCAATAGTATTCCTCCAACTCAATAGGAGGTTTGACTGTCATACATATCCTTCCCTAATAGGCCAATATGTGGCCCAAGACCACTCTGTTACCCATTATAATGCAAGCAAAAGCACTCAGACATGCTTTCTTCAAGATTTATGCCATTTCATTGACTGTTGTAGCTAGAGTTAAGGATAGATTCCTGGTTATTATCTGGGGCCATAAACTCCAATACCAGATATTAGTACTTGATCTGCTGTATAGTAGTAGCAGGAGTCAGTGTATCCTGCCTTCTTTGCCTGAGGAGCCAACAGAATGTAGCCCAAGGGTGGTGTCATTGACTCTTAGGAATACTGTCCAGAAAAGGGTTGGCAAACAGTAGGCCTTGTAGTTTTAGGTTTAATTCATTAAGGAACATCTACAAGTCTGCAGCAAAAGCCAGTTCCCGAAGCTAGTCATTATTTGATAATATTGGTTGAATGTTCTTTTTCAGAAAAATTTCAGTTTCATTCTTGAGTTCAAAAGTTGCAATAAAACCTTACCACTTTTTAGCCATTAAATTCCTGTGTGATAAGTGTATCAGGATATTCAACTTCTTTTTCTGACAAAAGTTCTTGGAACTGACAGTGATTAAGTTTATGATAGTAAATGTTTACTGTTGAAACTCCAGGTTCATTAACACACAGTAGATCCAAGTATCTTCACAGTACCTACTGATGAATACTATTATGAATAAGCCACCAATTTAAGTTACTTATCCTTTTACAGTCTTTAAATTTGTCCAACTAATAAAGTTTTTTTCTAGTGTACACATATTTTGCCACCATCACTAACACATCTTAGATTCTACTTCAGGTTATAGTAAATTAGTGCTTTCTCAATGTCTTTGAAAATATTCTCACCTGTAATTATTTTGTGCAGACTGTGCCAATTCTTCAGTCACTTCAAACTCGGCATTGACTCCTTGAATAAACAACAGCTGAGCAGTTTCAGACATCTGTCATTGAATCAAGAGCCAAGGAAAACCACTCAAAATGTTTGCTTTGTATTTCATTTGACTATTGATATTCTTCCCATTGTCCTCAACTCACTGAGCACCTGTTCTCTCCAAAAGACTAATAATCTTAAACATTTATTTTTTTCTGGACACATTTCTTCAGTTACTGCAATTGAATATGATTTAAGTAACTCAGCATCAATAAATGGCTTTCCAGGTGAATGATAGAGCCATTTAGAAACTTACTTGGTTGCAGCCTCATTTTCATTTTTTATTTTTATGAAGAAATTCTACGATGAGATGTTTCATTTTAAATTTTCCAATTTTTCTGACTATTGCTTTCCTGTGATTTTTTGAATATTGTGATGAGTGCTTTATAGTGTGGTAATGTTAATGTATATTGTGTTCTGAGAACACAACTATAATGTCACTGCGTGATAAACACATACTTTGCCATCTAATTTGATAATAAAATAATCTGTACTCCATTGTACCTTAAAAAGCAGGATATTAAAAAAAAGGATATTCAAAGTCCACTTTTCTTGTTTTGACATAATGTGTATACATAGGGAAATAAAAGTTGTGGTATGGCAGTATGTGTGGTAGTTGAAGTGTTGTGTAGCTGTGGTTACATCTCTACAGTTTGTAGTGTGCTGAGCAGCAGTGTGAAGCCCTGAGAGTGCCACACACAGTCTGCCACTGATGCTGCCATTGCAGCTCACATCAGCCTAAGATCATCTGTGAATGAATGAGAGTGGCTGTTGGCACTGAATTTCCTATATTTAATGTCACAAAAAACTTTTTTTTTTTTGAAATTTACATTTCAAAAATATAGAAACCATTCTTAGGTCAGGGACTGTATAAAAACATGTAGTGGGACAAATTTTACCCAAGGATCAGAGTTTCCTGACCCCTGATATGGAATATCA